CATTTTCCCCAAATGAAAAACAAATGAAATATTGGGTTTTTTTTTTTAATCACGACAGTAACAGTTATATAAACATTGTTTTAATCTTGATGTGCTAGGTCAATCATTTTAGTTTTATGAAGTCTCTTTTCAATGACTTCATTCCTACCATCCACATTTTAAAATCTATTATTCCAAGAATGACTTATTTTTCTTTTTGTTGGCTTCTTTTTCAATAGTATCTCTTGAATTTATAAAAACAAGAGCAAAACAATCACAAAGTATTACTAGTTCCTTAAGTGACTGGTCCTTTTCTCTTCACTATTAACCAGCAGCTGAGATATCTAAATATGATGATCTATTTAAAAATAATACAAAGCAAAAATCCAGATAGCACAAATCATTGTATTTCTAATTCACTTTCAGTTCCTTTATTCTCTTTCTATTCTCTTTGAAATTTCCCATTCCTGGTTATGTCCTATTTACAAAATGTCAGGTCAATGAATCTCATTTGAAAAGGAAAAGGAAAAGGGATGGAGATAAAGCTTAGTGATAGACTGCTTGCTTAGCATGCATGAGGCCCTGAGTTTGATATGGTTCTATAAAAAAGAACAACAAAGTAAAAGAAAAGCATATTGCTTATTAATTTTTGATGGTCCCCAAATACAATGAAGAAATATAAATATACTAAAAAAAGAGCTGCTATACATTTTACCAATTTACAAACAAAAACATCAAATATACATAATATCTGATACTAAATTTGTTTTATTTTATTAATGTGGTATGGAAAATAAGGACAAAGAAGAGAAAAATAATTTGATAATAGTAGCTCAGAAGAGGCTCATCTAACCTAGTGCCTGGAAGATAGCAAATGCTTACTAAACATTTGTTATAAAAATGAATGAATGCATGCCTGAACAAGCCTGATTTCATTATCATTTCATCATTTATCTCCACTTTAGCTTACTAACATTGCATCCATATTATGGCTTTTTATTGGCTGTTGAACAGCAAAAAGCAGAGCATGGAAATCCTCCAAAGGACTAAGAGACATAGTAAGGTCAACTAAGCAATGTTAGTAAATGTAAGAAAGAGAGTGAATTCACATGACAAAAAGGCATAAGTTCAAGGCTCATACTGTTTAAAAAAAATAATAAAATCCAACTTATCATGCTTTAGGGACCATAAGAAGTGCTATCATTTCAGACATAAAAATTTTTATATGTCCTAACTAGACATCAATCTGTAGAATGTCTAAACTACAAAATAAATTGATTATATTTTCATCAATAGGGAGGCAAGTGAGTGTACCTTGGCAAATATAATCTGTGAGTGTATTTAGGTAAATTATTGTAATGGAGAGAAGCAAAATTAATTCCTCCAGCAATACAAACCAGTATTCTTGAAGTGCTTAAAAGATTTAAAACTTTTCATATTTCAGAGTGACGTAAATTTCCCTCTGAAATCATATTACTACTATATTCTTAGCAAGTTCTTTGCTCATAGCAAATAGATAATATTTGGCTCAGTTTTGTCTAAATTATCACAAGTTTTGACTTACGATGTGATACTAATCAATGTAATGGAATAATGTTTGAATTTCTTTATGGGATCCCAAGGATTAGGATGTTTTCTTACCTCGAACTCTAAAATACTTCACATGGTTTGCCACAGCCTCTGTCACACTTTCATTTGGGCAGATTTTTACTCCATTAGGAAACAAAATGGATCGCCGCCTTCTAAGGAACCAAGGTCTTTCAGCTTCTCTGTGGTCCAGAAGCTGCTTCTTCTCAGCAGGTAGAGAACGGTCTGTAGATTCTTTGGGCAGGAGAAAAGAAACTGCACTCTTGGTTTCTTGGATCTCTTCAAAAAACAAGTAGGTTTGTACTATAGAGTGAAAGCACAATCAAGGCGTTTGATGAGGCATAAGATAGGGCACAAAAGGCAACTAAAAACAAAACTGACACTTGTGCCACATTTGGATTTTGAAATTGATACTCATATTATAGACAGGCTTGCATGTCTAAGAAGGAAAGGAGTGAAGTTTTCAATATTTTCCATTTAATTTCTACTCCTTTACTCTAAGATTGTTATTGAAATCAAGTATATATCCAATTTCAACACAAGAAATAAGGGGAAGTGGGACTGAGCCAGGAATTAGTAATCAAGAGGAAGACTCAAGTTACTGCAGATATTTTAAATAAAGAAATATCAAAGACTAATAGAGTACTATTTATTCAATTTCAATCACATCAAATAATGCTATTTTTAAGAAAATATACTACAGCTATGTAGATAAAACAAACAGACTTTTAAATTACCTGTTAATGCTGGAAGGTTTCCTTCTATCAGAACAAATATCAAAATACCCAGAGAAATCTTCCCAAAAAGAGGAAACATAATCATTTGAGCCAAAATCAAAGAAATAAAAAGAGGGCAAAATCCTTAACTGAGCATACAAAGCCTTGAAAATTCCAGTAACAAATTGTTACAGGAAAGGTCCAAGATTTAAAAGTTCGTGTTTGAGAATGGACAACCACTCCAAAATCATTATAAATTAGTGTGAATAAAATGGTGTCTTCTCAAAGTAGCTCTCAATTCTTTTCTGAAATAACCAGCATGCTATGAAAGCAGACGAGATAAGCTAATTAGAACAGATGGGGAGAGACAATTTCTTTATTCTAATCTAGGTAGCTAAGCTCTTTACTAACACTCTCCTTGCTTTTAACAAGTGGTTCATTTACAAACAATTCATGTACAAGTCACTGACTTTTCCAACTTTTCTGAATCCACCAGTCAAATTTGATAGATCCATACATTCTGAGTTCTCCTAGGATTTAGGATGTGTAAGCATAAAAATGCCCAGACTATCTATACCTACCTGCTTCAATAATATACATAACTATATAAAAAACAATCATTAGTTTTTGTCAGAAAGCTATTATCTTGTAAATTTGCCTTTTTAATATAAAATCTGGAAATCATTCACTGTAACCACAGTCTTCTTCCTTATGCATAAGATGGAATAGTAACAGTAAAGCAAACTACTGGTAGAGCTGCTGTGATGGATTAAACTAATTAACTAATTTAATCCTCACAACATTGCTTAGAATAGTGCCCAACACACGGTAATCACTTAACATAAATGAGAGCCGTAAAGATATCTTTGTTGATTAATTTGCTATTGAATGTGAGGCCCAGGGTTTTTATCTACATGAAGAACTCTTAACCAAGAAAGGATATCCTCTACTAGGAAGGAATCAGATAAAAATGTATTAGAACAGTTGTTTTTATCATATAAATCTAGTAGAAGTCAATTAAGTTTGTTGAAATTCCTGTGGAAGCTAAGATTTAATATCAAATAACAATTTACATTTTACTTTATGTATCTCTGGGAGTTCTCTGGGGAAAACATGTTTTGTAATGATCTAGAGAACATTTCTCTTAAAAATCTTTTACTAGCTAAGTCATCTTCAATGTTATTTTATGCATTAGGAAAATAGACTAGTTGGTATTTCAGTATTTCAAGCATGTTTTTTCAAGATAGTCTCAAACTATATTTTCTTCTTTTATAAAGTTTAAAAAATATAAATAACCATTGAACACATGTGCATAATTTTCCCTATAAAATATCAGTAAATTTATAAGAAATTTATTTGCCAAACTGTGTGAGGAGGAAAAAAAAAGCTGAAAATTACATTAACTAAGCACAATTTTAAAGTCTTAAGGAATATTTTATGCTGACAATTCAGAACAAGAGAAACATTCAGATAACAAGTATTATTAATGGGAAATTATTATTTTTGATGGCCTACTCCAAAAAGCTAATAAAAAATCTTGAGAATCACAACAATTTGGAAACATTTCTGTGCTTATGTTCAGAAAACCTGGGCTCAAACCCTGGATTGACCACTTAATATTTGATTTTGTCAATCACCTAAGATATTTGAGCTGGTTTTTCCACCCAAAAAATTAGGTATGATGATCTTTGCCTGTGTCATGGGGTTGCTGGTTAAGAATTAAGAAATATGAAAATTCTTTAGGAACTAATGCATGGTATATTCATTGTATTACAAGTGATCATAAAGTCTAAAGAGATTTCAAGCTTTGCAGTTCTCCTTTGTTTAAGCTCCAGGACAGAAAAGAAAAAAAAAAAATTTTTCCCTAAATTATATTCCAAGTAGAGAATTTTAGAACTTAAAAAGATCTGTTATATTATCTGCTACAAAACATAATTTTGAAAATGAAGTGGGATTATGGACTATTGTACTCAATATCTATACCTTTTAAAAAAATAAAAGTATTAAAAATTCTGCAGCCTGTTCATTTGTTTCTAAATAGATTCATCATTTTATAAATTCCTCTCAAACTTCCTCAAGAATAAACTCAATGGACTGGGGCTGTAGCTCAGTGGCAGAGCACCTGCCTAGCACATGTGAGGCACTGGGTTCGATCCTTAGCTCCACATAAAAATAAGTAAAATAAAGGCATTCCATCCATCTACAACTACAAAAAGAATTTCTTAAAAAAGAATAAGTTATAGAGAGAAGTACTTAGAGCATGAATAAATAATTCTTCATAACTAAAAGTAGAAGACAATGGAAAGATCAGGATAGAATACAGGCTGGAACAAAATAGGATGGGCTCTTCATGCGTAGAACTTTTTTTTCTTGACATAAGAAAAAAAGCTAATTTTAAGAGGTATTAAGCTTTTACAAAATCCTATTCCGGTGATTAGATATGACTTAAAAAAAGGCCTTTTTGTTTAATCCCAATCTTTGTAAATTAATAGTACAATATTTACAAATGATTTCTCTGGCCACTAACAACCCGTTTCACTACTTCTTTATCTCCCCTCATTCACATTCACCCACACACATATATACACACACACACACTATAAACTGAACAACTCCTCCCCAATCCCCACCAAGTTCCCAAAGACACTCCATTGTTCTTACCAGAGAATATTTAAATTATTTGTATGTCCATAAATTACTCAGGAATAAGAGCATTTCTTTTTCAAAGAATTTAAAAAGTTTATTTTTTGTGCTTAGCAGAATGTTGGCTAATAGTAGTTACAGGTTGAATATCCCTATTTGAAATGTCTGGGAGCAGAAGTACTTTGAATTTTGGATTTTGGAACATTTGTAGACCCTTGATATATCTTGGGGATGAGACACAAGTCTAAACATAAAATTTATTTTTATTTCATACACATATATGCTGAGGTAATTTTACACAATATTTTTAGTGTACCTGTGTTTTGACTGTGAACCATCACATGAGGTCAGGTGTGGAGTTTTCCATTTGTAGCATTACATTGGTACTCGAAAAACTTTAGATTCTGGAACATCTGGATTTTAAATTTTTGGAACATTTTTCCTATCTGATTAGGGATGCTCAACCTGTACTAAAAAATTTCCCTGAACTGACATTCAAATTAAGTATATACTTATTAAAGTTGGGAGAAAAATTAATGTAAGCAGCAGTTACATGGTATGCTCAGGACATCATGCATTTAGAAATTTATTTATAACAATGGCTTGTGCTTCTTTAGAAAAAATTACAACTCAATTTAATTAATTGGAAATGTTTAATATAAAATACCGATATCCTCAAAGCATTATTTGCACATGAATTTAGGAAAATTAATTTTAATTTCCAAAACATAATAAAGGACAGTGGTATTTTTTAAAAACATACAAACAAAAAGTTAAGAAATCACAAGATGTCTTGTATACTTGCATCCCCAAAATTAGATGCACAAAACAATTAATAGTCACCTAAAAAAGTCTCTCCCCCACAACACACACATAAATTGGGAATGGAATATGCAATTATAACCATCTTTATATGCAATCTCCAAAAGACATACATCTTTAACAATATAAAGATGGTGACAAGATAACAAAAGCTAAGGACACTGAAAAATAACTGACAACTTCAATTCACATGATTTTGAAATATTCAGATTTTTTAACTTTATCTTAAATTGCTTTTGTTTAATTGATTTATTTACAGTTACAATGTAAATCCAAGAGATGCTTAAAACAAGATTAAAATAATATTCTTTAAAAAAGTATTCTTATCTGAGAAAATACAATACGATCATGTCTCTTTCAAAATATTCCTGATAACATTAGAAGGTTCTAAGGTGTTTAATCATATATAATACCACCATCATCACATGAATTCAATAGAACTGTTACCTGAATATTTAATAAACTATTAAGCGCCATAGGTTTAAGATCCATAGCGGATCACAGGGCTCTAAAAACTACAATTTAAAAATATAAAAGCAATGAGAGCAATCTGGCTTTGCAGATGAATACTGGGTAAACTAAGCTATAAAATTATATTTTTGGTTCTAAATAATAAATAGAACTTTGAGGGTATTTTTGTTAAAGATATGAAGACACCGATTTTATCTTCTATACTTACAGAAATTGTGTATATACAGTCCTTGATAATGTGTAAGTGGATATTTATATAGCTACACCTCAAATAAACTAAGTTTGGATACATATATGATTTTTTAAAACTCAGTTAATTTTTTGTTCCCAATTTTACCCCAAACAAATGAACTAAATCCTCAAATTCCCCACATGAGACATCAAAAGTAATGGGAAAAAAAATAGAGCAGAGTAATTGTGTTTAGCAGTTGACAACAATAAGCTGCGCTTTGAAAGAGGAGTTTTCATCATCTTCCTAACATGAATTTTTTTTTTTACACTATACAGAAGGGATGCCGTAAATGGCATTTTCTGAAGCCTTGATACTAAATTCTTTAAAAAAAAAATACACAGTATTCATACTGCATGCTTGAGCTGCAAAGAACAGAAATACAATACAATATGACTTGTCAACAAATTTGACAAGCACTGGGGCTGGCACCAGGGAGGACCTAACTCCCATCAACACCCAGTCATGTGGAAGTACAGATCACATAGTTTTATTATTTACAAATACATTCCCACATTACATATGCTATTGTATAATCCAAGCATATTTATCAGAAAAATATCAAATACTTATGAAATTTTAATTTCTATCTAATAAGTTTTATGTATATCACCCTCATTCCCACTCCATCTATGAGAGTCCAGCAAGTCTAATAATATATCTTCTATATTTTAAATAATAATGTTTGTTCAATGACTTATAAAACTACTGAAAGTTATTTTCTTCTCTGTGAGCTGGCTAACACAAATGCTGGTAAGCGGCTTTCCAGTAATCTTAGAGAACATATGTGTCATGTTTGTACAGATTAACTAGCTACTGCTGCCCTTGCGCTGCTGCAAATGAAGTTTCAAAATGAGCTCTCGAATATCTTCCCGTTTGGTCTTTATTACATGACGAGGAAACCATTTCTCCAAATGGATTGGAAGTTCAAAGTTAACAATAGGATCCTAATGAGAAAAAGAAAGAAAGCAATCACTTTAGCAGCATAATTTTAAATGTGTCTTAATTTCATTTTTATAGGAAATGAAAAATTGCTAACTTTTTAAAATAACACTTTATTGAGGTATAATTCACATGTTATACAATTCACCTGAAAATATAATTTTTTTATTTATTTTTTAGTTGTAGAGGAACATGTACCTTTATTTATTTTTATGTGGTCCTGAGGATTGAACCCAGTGCCTCACATATGCTAGGAAAGTGCTTTACCACTAAGCCACAACCCCAGCCCTACAACTGGTTTTTGTTTATTCAGAGTCGTATAACTTTCACCACAATCAAATTTAAAACATTTTCATTAAATTCCTAACTTTTGATCATTGAAATTAAATACAATCTATTCTGCTACAATGAGTGTTTAAGTGAAGTATAACAAACAGAACTGCTAAATAGATTCAGCATAACTCAGAAATCAACCTGGTTGCCCAGCACAAAGATGCATAACTGTAATTCTAGCTACTTGGGAGGCTGAGGCATGAGGATCACAAGTTCGAGGCCAGCCTGAGCAACTTAGTGAGACCCTGTCTTAAAATTAAAAATAAATAAATAAAAAGAGTTGCAGATGTAGCTCAGTGGTAGAGTACCTCTAGGTTCAATCCCTATTACCATGGAGGGAAAAAAGGAATGATTTGAACACAATTTTTTCTCAGCATGTTAATATTTTTAAACTATGAAAACAAATAGAACTGGGAGTGGTGGTGTACACCTGTAATCCCAGCAACTCAAAAGACTAAAATGAGAGTATCACAAGTTCAAAGCCAGCTTGAGCAACTCAGTGAGACCCTGTTTCAAAGTAAAAAGCAAATGAGCTGGGGATGTAGCTCAGTGGTAGAATACTTGGGTTCAATTTTCAGTATCACCAAAAAAAGAAAAAAATTGATAAAGTCTTAGTGAAAAATAATCTCAGATAAAAAATAGAGAAATCTACAAAAAGGCCCTCTTTTATTCTAAGAAATAACTGATTCAATTGCTTAAGAACCACTACATTTTCCATTATGTTAAACTTAAGTGAGAAATTACAAACTGCAACTGCAAAGGTATTCTTCTGTACTTGAATTTTTCAAAAATTGCTAAATAAGGCGACCCTTAGATTATTTTTACTAATTTGATATTACTAGAAGCCAGATGTTAGGACTTCCATCTCAAAGAAAGAATTAATAGCTCCAGGATATAAGGCTGAAATGATGGACTGATTTCTTCTGGCAAATGCTAGAAGGAAATGCTAGTAGAGATTTATTGTCTAGTACTTTTATTAGAATTAATTTTATTTTTGTTAGGGTATAGTTACAAAGATTCTATGGACTGAAGCTATATAAAGTATAGCTATATAAAGTATTATATTGACTGAAGCTATATAAAGTATAGAATCAAAATGTATTAGTAATAAGGCACAGGAGTACTCTAAACAAAGTCAAATCTATTTAGAAAGAGTATTAAGAGAACCAGAATTATTACCAGTGTGGAATTAAAAAGGGGGGTATTATGGTTTAGATATTAGGTGTTCCCCTAAAGCTCACGTGTGAAACAATGCAAGGCTTAAAGGAGAAATGATTGGGTTAGAAGAGCCTTAACCCAACCAGGGAATCCTCTGATGGACTCACTTGAGAGCTAACTAAAGGCAGGCAGGGTGTGGCTGGAGGATTGGGTCTTTAGCAGCATGTCTTTGGGGTACGTATTTTGTATCTAGCAAGTGGTGTCTGTCTGTCTGTCTGTCTCTCTCTCTCCCTCCGTCCTGATCATCATATGTGCCATTCTCTTCATGATATTCTGCCTCACCTTGAGCACTGAGGAATGGAGTTGACTATCTAAGGACTGAGACCTCTGAAACTGTGAGCCCGCAAATAAACTTTTCCTTGTCTAAAAATTGTTCATGTCAGGTCTTTTTGTCACAGCGGTGGAAAAGCTGACTGAATAGGGGTAAATAACCGATAGACATTAGTGTTCTCCATAACACGTAATATCTTTTACTATATGTTATCCTTCCTCTCCAATATTAAAAACATCAAAAAGTTCCAACTGCATACTATAACCCTTATGCTTTGAAAGCACCTTTAAGCATTCTCTAAGCAGACTCCTGGTCAAAAATGCCTTGCTCCTTTACCCATCTTCATAAATGATATTACTAATGGCTGAACCAATGAGCTAATCATTCAAAAAGCAAAGAATGATTCTTTGCCACTAAAAATCTTTACTGTTGTTACAGTTGTATAGAATCTCTGTGAACTAGAAAATAACAGTCATATTTGTCATTATATTTCCACAGCTATGAATAAACAGGTCTTTTACTTTGGGGAAATTCTCTTTAAATATCATATCAACACTGTTCTTTCTTTCATTCTCTCCAATTCTCCAAGACTCCAAATACATGTAAACTACAAATTTTAACTGTTTTCACCCTTGCCTCTTACACTGTTTTCTTTACATTCTTTTTTCTCCCCGTGCTTTCACTGGATACTTTCTATAGTCCTTTCTTTAAATACACTAATCCTAACTTCTGCAGTATCTAGTCTGTTACTAAAACCACTAAATACATTCTTAATTTCAGATATAGTATTCCACATTTTCAGCTCTAGAATGTCCATGTGATTTTTTACATTTCATTTTTTCATTAATTTTGTTCATATTTGGCTTATTTTTTCTAACATAGTAATTAAATCATTTTAAAGTTCTTGTCTGCTATCTCTCGTATATGGGTCACTTGTGGTTCTATTTCTTTTTTTTTTTCTTCTTCTTCTTTTTTTTTTTGACTACTTGTAACATTTTCCTGTTCTTTGCTTACCCAGAAATTTGTGGTTATATGCTAATAACTGTGAATAAAAATCTTCTTTATATCTTCACATACCTTGAAGAAGCTTTCCACATATTGTAGTAAATACACTCCACAATCACTGCTATTATCCTGTTTAGGAACTTTAGGGCATAGGTCAACCATGCTTGTTTTGCTGAATTCACGATGAGTTTTTCGTTTAACTTCCCATTCTACCTCTAAATACCTGAAATGATCAGTAAGCAAAGTGATTTTAGTAGGAATTGATCCATATGAATATTTTTATGAAGAAAAGCATCTGCTGCCAGATATGTTGTATCAAACTAATTTCCAAAGGCTGAACTTTAACAATGCAAACCATATTTAGTGAGCCTTCACAAGTGCCACTTTAAAGAAAATAACATGATTTTCAGACTAAAAGCTAGTTTTTATTGAACAATTCAACTTCACAACTCAAATATAAAAAGACATATTTATATTATAAAGTAAAGTAACAAATTGCTGGGAGCCATTAGCCAAGTAGGTATGACAATTTCCTTGCCAGTGTACCCCATGTTGCTGACATGTTGCAGTGACATTGAATGTAGGTGACCTTGCTCAAGGACCAAGGCAGATTAGGGTGTTCCCGGTTTTAAGATAATCGTGTTTAGGGCGTTCCCAGTTTAGGTTCCAGGTTTAAGGTTTAAGATTATTCCTGCTGGGAATAGGGCGTATCCTGCTGCCTGAGTTCCCCTTGAGTTCTCACGGGATTCAGACAGTATATTTTGGAGATAGAAGCCCAGTGGAGGTGGATTTGGGCAGAGAACGTGGATTTCCCCAGAACGTGATTGTAGACGGCTGGTGTGAGTTCGGGAATAAAGAGTTGCTGTTTGAATCTACAAGCTGTGTGGTGGCTCGTGATTGTGTGCCCAGCCAGACTGCGGCATTTGTGCCCAGCCAGACTATGGCATTAAATGACTAGTTTCATTCACATTCCTGAATTTTCCAGGCCTTACAGTAAATCACAAAAATATCACACACACACATATACACACACACTAATGTTAATTTGTGAGTTACCCTCACCCCCAGGTAATACTTTGAGAATCAATGATATTTGCAATGCTCTTTATAAAATTATAAAATTTGTTCTATTATGAATACAAATTCTGAGTTTACTCTTCATGTAGTCTTCAGAAATATTAACACATAAAACAAGATTTTATTGATTAGATTTGCAGGCTTTGTTTAAATGCATATTAAAATATGACTCCTCATAAGAGTGTTTTCAGTAATTTTTAAGGTAGTTTCAAAATTACTGAGGCTTTTCAGGGAACAAATTGAATGGTAATATTGTTATTACTTACTCTCGTAAATTCTGAACCGTGTTTTGTATAGAAGCAGCTTTCAAGGAGTCTAGTATGAGAATACATGGCCTATTTAAAGCAAAGGAAGAATTAAGATGGAAATACTTTTATAAGAACTATACCTAAATACATTTACAAAACTGTATTATTATTATCATTATTATTATAGCACATACTTACCTTTTACACATTTTCTTTGGTACTGACATACTCATTTCGGTACTCTGAAATAACATGAATTTTTATGACTTTGCAATTAAAACCAGTTTGAATACATTAATATTCAGTTACTCCTCAAAATGTGTCAAACAACTTGGAAATTAAAATTTCATATATGAGTTCTTTTCATCATCTGAAGTAACTAAATTCATTTTCCAAAAATGCAGTGATTTATTTTCCTATACTGGTAAGAGTAATACTTTTGGAGGTTTAATTTGGTCTAGAAAACAATCTGGAACTTGAATTCTATTAACTTTTCATTATAAATAGGAAAATTTGCCTTTACATACATTCTGTAACCCAATTTATGATGTCAAGTAGAGATACTTTTTTTCCCTCTGAAATAAAAGAAGCAGAGTATAAATCTGCATTAAGGGAGAAGAAATGGGGAATTGTGTTTTTTGTTGATGTCTGGTTTTGGTTATATATCTGAGAAACAAGAGGTCAAATTTAAATAAATTTCTTTAATGGGGGCACTCTCAGTATCTTTATTTTTCTAATTATGAAAATTATGATGAACAGCTAAAGCAAGCTAAACAGATAGAAGAAGAATGACAACTTCTCTTGTTTTCGTTCCCCAAGATTGTCAAAGAATCTTAAAGCAGCACAATTTAACTATGAGCCACTAATACCAATTCCTGTCCATTGAGTTATGTCCTATTTTATAGTTAACATTATATTCACGAGTTTTCCTTCCTTCACTTATGTACAGTACACTTACTTGAGAATCCTCGGCATTCAAGGAGAGTGTTGAAGTAGCATGTAAGTCATTTTCTAATAAGAGATAATGAGGCAATTTTGAGTCTTCATTGTATGTCTGGTACAGATAATTTAGATAAGCTTAAACTGTAATTTATATGCAAAAAAGTAAAGGAAAAATATCTGGGATCTGTTTTTTTTTTTTCATGGTTAATGTTATAAATAAAATTCAATCAATGAAAATAATTGATGATGGTTTTAGGCAATACATAAACCGCAGGGCCAAACCTGAAATACCAGTTAGTGGAGCCAATTTCCTATAAAAAGACAACCTTCAAAGACAGTTCATTAATCAAAACGTCTCCTGTTTTAATGTGATGGGTAGTTAATTGCTGAGTAACAGTTCTTCTATGACCAAAGAGTTTTGCATAAATATACTTTTGAAGCTCAAAAGGATCAGAGAAAATTGAAAATAATCAGTTGTTTTATCAGGTTTTCTCCCTCCCCACAATATATGAATAGAATTAATGGTAGAATGGCTATTATCAGTTATGCTTACTATTTAGGCTATAGTTATAAATCACATAATTTTGACTTTTTTCTCAAAGAAAGTAGATTTGTTTACTTAATGAAGATTGTAGGTTATAATAAGAAAAATCATGGAAGAATTATAAGAAATCCTGTATTACTCTCTGAAATACTAGTCTATAAAAAACGTATTAAATTATATTAATAAATGAGAGATTTCAAGCTATGCCTGAAGATTTGTCATGAATTCTTGGTCATATTAGAAAAGTTTTTCTTTAAAAATGCTACAGTAAAACTTGGCATCGACAAATATAACTTAAGAATTACATTTCGTCTATGGGCTGGGATTGTGGCTCAGCAATAGAGTGCTCGCCTACCATGTGTGAGGCCCTGGGATCGATCCTCAGCACCACATAAAAATAAATAAAATAAAGATATTGTGTCCATCTACAACAACAAAAAAAATGTTTTTAAAAAAGAATTATATTTTCTCTATATAGAGGACTGGATATCTGGCATAAAATTTTCAAATTTTTAAACTCTTCCTTCTAGTAATTTAATAATAAATAGACTACTTTTAACTTCATCTTGTTCCCTGTAACCATTTTACTATTGTCATCATTAAAAATACCATCTACATTAATGTTGTCACCTATTGTTTTGTTGTCAAGTTGAGATTGATGAGTCTGGGATTGCTGGGGTACAGTTTGTGGAAAATCTTCATACACAGCTTCTTCTAACCATGGAAAACAAATGACTGCAAGATACCAGTGAGACCTGTTGAAAAAGAACTACAATCTTAATAACATGAAAAACTCTAAGCAGTATAGAAGAATATATTCTCAAATTACATTCTGAGAAAGTGGGTATAACAAACTTCACATTAATTTTGAAGCTATCCATTGTAATATCTGATGTAATGTAGAACACACATTCCAAAACTAATTAAATAATCAAAGTTATCAAAGCCACAATTAAAACTACTTAGGGCAAAAATCTAAATAATTCAAACTTTGTTTGCTTTCATAGAGTCAATGTTTTCTTTTGAGGATCTGCTTTAATGACAGACTCAGATTTGCTTGTTTTGAATCAGTTAAAAAAAAAAAAAAAAGACAACAAACTCTTTTTTTTTTTAGGTGTAGATGAATGTAATACAATGCCTTTATTTTTATGTGATGCTGAGGATCAAACCCGGGTCCCGCTTGTGTTAGGTGAGCGCTCTACCACTGAGCCACAATCCCAGCCCCAAGTTTGTTGTCTTAATAATTTGAGATTCACCTTGTATCTTTTGATTTTTATTTAGAAGATCTTTCCTTGAATCAAAAAATGTAAAGTCTCAATCATTACAGTCTTGAAGCCACTTTCCTTTTATTTTTCTCCCCCATATTTACAACATACATATTATCAAACCAAAATTCAAAGTAAGAAATTCATTGTTTTGGCTATATTCAGAACAAAAAGTTAAAAATAATAACTGGGATTTATGTACTCATGCTTTTTTACTGATTATTAGTCTCAAAAATACCACAAATATTTTTTTCTGAACAATCTCTAATTTGTTTCTTAATAATCAGAAATACTCACGACTCATTCACAGGTACAAAGATATAATCTTTATTAAAAATATTTATGTGACGAGTCCATGTTCTTACTCTCTTATGTCTTCTTTGTGCCATTCTGGGAATATAAAACATGGATAATTTGATTTGTAAAAAAAAATAAATAAAATTTAAGATTAAGACTTCAAGTGCCATTTTTATATGCTGAAAATGCTAACTTTATTTAAGCATTTTCTTCCAAATGTATAATTTAACACACTAGAAATAAATTCTCTTGTATTAACTCCTGGTTGTTCTTAAATTTGATCACTATGAACGATGGTGAAATGTGCCAAATAAAGACAGAAATTTATTAAATGCTTTGTAGGCTTAGCACCTAAGAATATCTAAGCCTATTTATTCTTCTTGGCTCCATCTGAGTATGTTGCAAATTATTTACCCTTAAAAAAAAAACTGTCCAAATGTTTTTTTTTTTTAATTTCTTTTTAGTTGTAGGTGGACACAATATCTCTGTTTTATTTATTTATTTATTTTATGTAGTGCGAGGATTGAACCCAGAGCCTCATGCAAGCTCAATCACTAAGCTATAACCTCAGCCCCTGTCCAAATGTTGTATCTGTGATGAAGGAGGTGTTAAAACTTAATGGAGGAGAAAATATGAGACCTCTTTTCTTAGATATTAAAACATGAAACTTTTCTCCCTTTATTTCAGAAATAATAGGACAAGGCTAAGTGTATCCACCACTCATCCATCTTTCTTTTATTTCTTCAACAAATATTTACTAGGTTTCTAAGAACAAATAATGAAAATAATCTATAATTGCACTAAAATAATTTATAATGAAAGAAGAAAAAACTAGACAAGTAACTAAAATATAAGCAGTATAAGGGTAGAAAGAAATTCTAATAAAATAGCTACCTCCAAAAGGGTTAGTGTGCACACACAATAGTTTCTTTTTTTTCCCTCCTCCTTTTTTTTTTTTTTTTTCACACTTAAACCAAGTTTGGATGTCACAAAAAGGTTTTAGGGTTAAAAAAGCATTTAACATGGGCATAAAGAAGGTGACATGTGACTTCTGACTCTGTGCATTGGAATTCTTTTTATGCACGGAAAAAAAGAAACTATTAAATGTTTATATACTTATATAACAAGTAATACAGTAAACAGAAATTTTTGCAACATATTCAGATAAACAGTAGTTAGATAATTCTAACTAAATAGTTAGATAATTCTAACTAAAACACCTGGCATAAATATTTGGAGTATATAGAATCCAGAATGAGCTAAAAAAGATGCAATAGGAATTAGGTACCATGTGAGAGATTTACTACTATACATGAAGTAATCGGTAATCATGTCTATTGAATTTTCTTATTTAAGAATGACTCCATCATAAAATTATAAAAATTACTTTCAGCTAGCATTTGAACTATTAACTTGTTTTTCATTTGAGAATCTTCAAAACAAGCACCTAATTTTATTTGTTTCCTTATATTACTGTTTGGTAAGCTTCCTGTTGATGCTAATCTTATTTAAGAATATATTAGACATAAAGCAAGGCAAAGAAAATAGGAGAGAATATAAGGGCCACAACATGATCTCTTTTTCTCAGTTCTTAACTATGTAGAAAATAATCAATTAAATATCTAAGAGTTCTCTTTGTATTTAGTAATAGGCATTGTTATCTTCTTGTATTTTGAGTCCCTAGTATATTTCAAACACTTAGATATTTAACTGAGTATTTTCTATACAGTTAAGAATTGAAAAAAGAGATCAGGGATAGGGTGGAAATAAGAGAGACAAAGTCCTTGACCTCACAGAGACCTTAGGTTGAGAAACAGAAAATAAATAAGTGAGCAACTAACATGATTATAGAGATCATATTGTGAAACAAAAAAGCACCAGGAGAAGAAATTTTAGGCAGTAAATGGAAAAGAACTGAACATATTTTAAAACTGAAACAGGTAGGGTGAACTGAAGTATGGTAAATGAGAGAAAGGATATGTTGTGAAATGAGTTTAAGGAGATGGAAAGAAGCCAAATCTCATAGGATCTCATATACCATGATAATGAGTATATTTACCATTTACTCTGCAGTTTCTTAACATTAGTAGTTTGAGCCTTTTGTAGTGGATTTATTATTGGCCATTAAAGTTTGTTTCTCTTGCTGATTTGCTATTGTCTTATCTTACACACACACACACACACACATACACACGCACACACACCTGATTTATAGGGATTCTTTTTGTGAATATTAATGATTGCTTTGAGATGTGTGTGCTTATGTGTGTACACACATTCATACACACTCGAATCGGACCAAGCATTAGTTGGGGATGGGAATTTGTACAGAAATTTAACCAAACTGCAAACAAATATGGCATTTACTATCATATTCCATCAGTTTAATTAAATAGTTGCAGGTCAGCAACGATATAATGAGGAAAACAAAAATAATCATTATCTTTTAATTATGTAATATAGGGAACTGGCTACAGAAGTAAAAGAAGTAAAAAGCAAAAAAGAAAATAGTGGGGGCAGTGTTGGGTGAGCAATGAGGCAACAAAAGATAAGCATATTTAGAAACTGCTAAGCCCAGAGGGTTCAGGGCAAAGGGAAGCAGCAGTCTCACCAGAAACTGGAGATCTAGCAGATCTGTCCAGTGAGAGTCTAATAAAGCCCAAAATCACAGCCCAAGGCAAATAGGATAGAGAGAAAACAGCCTGACTTCTTTATTCCTGGCCCTCTAATTTCTAGAATCCCTATAAAACATGCAATTAGAAATGTAGCCTGCAGAGTTAGCCTCCCTGTCATAGGAAGCAGAATAATACAAGGCTAAAAAGTGATTCTTAAGCAAACAGACCCAGGACTTGGACAAGAGGTAATATTGCCCACTCTAAAAAATACAATAAAGAAACCTCTTCACCAAGATTATCAAAATAGTGTGTGTGTGTGTGTGTGTATATTAATCTACTCAGTTTCATTTTATTTATTTATTTATTTTAATTAGGTGTGTAGGGCAGCAGAATTCATTTGCTTCATTGTACATAACTGCAGCATAATTTTTCATTTCTCTGTACACAATGTAGCATTGCATCATATTTGCAGTCATACATGTACCCAGGGTAAAAATGTCTATCACATTCTACCATCTTTCCTATCCCCATACCCCTTCCCCTCCCCTCCTTAGAGGATTGACTTACGAAAGATCAGGATTATCTTCTGTTAAATTATTTTCCTTTCTTGTCAAGCATTTATAGAAAAAGCTACTAAAAATGTGACTTCGTTCAACAAGTTCATCTGATGCCTTCTCCAATATAAGATACCTGTAAAATAGCCATCCACAAAATTATTTTTAGATTTTACCTTGTTTTTTCCAACTATCTTAGAAATCACTATCAATTATATCCAATTAAATTCAAAGTATAAAAAAGACTCAAAGTGAATTTCTAAGAGATTAAATCGATGATTTGAGCTTTCCATTTGTTCTTTAGTTATCAAGACCATTTGACACTGAAATTGCCCAATTTATTCATTCATTTAATTAACAAATATCTATCCAACTCCTAACATGGATCAAACATCACATTTAAGAGAGATACATGAAAAGGGGATATAAAAGTACCTGTCCCCAGAAAACTCAACAGTTCAAAGAAGATAGAAAAAATTATTAGTCAAATAATCATATGAACAAATAAGACTGAAACTATGACACTCCTAAATAAATCTAGAAAACTTTAACAACTAAAATGTGACTACTATCTGAATTCTTAGTCTATTTCTATCCTAAAACAATTCTTCAATATAATTTTATAATTCAATCTCTTAAGTGACTAAACTCTTCATAATTAGGAAATTCTGCAATTTCTAACAATTTATGCAGGTTGAGTAGCCAGAGTTAGCTACAATACTACAAAGGAAAAACTATGTAGACAGGAAACTCCAAACAGCTAGAGTGACCACTTGATGTGTGTGAGGAAAATACCCAAGCATGGGAAATAACTACCCAAAATGATCAGAAGAAATGATACTCAAAATTCACGCAGACCAAGAATGGTGCCCATTCCTACTAGTCAGTCACGAAAACCTCATAATTCATGAGACAATGGGTGGAGTATTCATGAGTGGTGGGAATTAATTTGTTGGTCTCATTTATCAAATCTTAAAAACAAGACACATGAAAGCTATTTTCAATTAATTTAACTGCATCCCAGTACAAAGTTCAACCATATTTATAGGAATTCAAAAATTTCTAGCATTCAAAAAAACAATTACCAGACATGGAAAGAGGCCAAAACCACTAAAACAAACAAACAAAAACTATGACTCATCATAAAGAGAAAAATTAAGTGACGCTAATACAGAATTAATACAGCTGAAAAGGACATTAAAATAGTCATTAAAACTGTATTCCAAGCTGGGTGCGGTGGCACACACCTGTAATTCCAGAGGCTTGAGAGGCTGAGACAGGAGAATTTCGAGTTCAGAGCCAGCCTCAGCAATTGTGAGGCCCCTAAGCAACTAAGACCTTGTCTCTAAATAAACTACAAAATATGGTTGGGATGTGACAGTGGTCGAGTGCTCCTGAGTTCAATCCCTGGTACAGGGAAAAAACAAAAACAAAAACAAAACCCTGTATTCCAGGGCTAGGGTTATGGCTCAGTGGCAGAGTGCTTGCCTCTCACATGTGAGGCACTGGGTTCGATCTTTAGCAACACATATAAATAAATAAACAAAGTAAGGATATTGTGTCTACATATAACTAAAAAAAAAAATTTTTTTTAATTTTATCCCATATGTTCAAAAAGTGACATGGATGGAATAAAAAAAGACCCAAAGTGAATTTCTAAGAGATTAAATCTATGTTTGTAAATATTAATAATAATGGGAGATTTTGAGCTTTTATGGCTGGAGTAAAAACATTTAGTAAGATGACAAAAATTTTGGTTTGTAAGGGATCTGTGAAATAATTTGGTATTCTCTTAACTTGGGATACAGTACAAAATGAAGGCTAGAAATCAATTTTCTTTGTATGAAAGTTTTAAAAGCTTTCATATATATTCCTTCAGCTTTTCTTAGACAACAAGTTGAAAGACTGGAAGTGATATGGACTTTTTAATAAATGACAGTTAACTTTCATGATGCTTAAAGATACAATAAACAACTGAATAAAATTGTTTCTTTTCAGTCTCCAAAATGCTTCATAATTATGTAAATATTTAACATATAATACAGTGCTCAAAGAAGTATATATCACAAATCAGCATAAAACTAAGATAAAAAAAGGCATTAGCTCTTCTTAAGGATATAGTATCTATGGAAATAAAGAAGTAAAACTGAGTTAGTAATCCAAAAATTTCCCAAATCTGAAATCTTGGCAGGTTACTTTTAACTGGAGTTAAAATAACTTAGATAAAGACATTTATAATACGTTCCATGGTAAAACCTATAAAAAAAATAAGATTATTTATTATTTTACTTACTTAAGGTAAAAATCAATGATTACATCATTAAGAAATTCTCCTTCTTCTAAACATTCTAGGTCTTCATTAGTTACTCCTAATCCTCCCTTAGTAGGTGGTGGAGGATATACAATCAATCTCAAAAAAAAAAAAAAAAAAAAAAAGAAAAGAAAAGAGCATTAAAATATATTGGTATTAAAAATTCTAGTACCTAAGAGATTTTCTACATGAAACAAAACTGGGTAATAGGATCCTATAAAATCTGTAGAGTAAAAAATATTTGACAGGACAAAGGAATTATATTTTCACAAGCTACTCATGGTTCTTTCATTAAATATCACCTTTTCCTTTCAAATTATTTGCATGTGAGCTAGTCTCAACAGACTAACATCTCAATACCAGTCTCAACAATTGTCTAATCAATAGGTTTTATCTATCAGTTTCAATACCAAGGATGTCTCTCTTCTGCATAGTTTATAATTTTTAACAACTAATGTAATAAAACAAATTTTCCTATAATCTACTTTCTAATCTTAAATTTTAATCCCCAAGAACAATTCCTTTCCATTCAGAAAACCAGCATTCAAAAATTGTGCTCTCCTCCTGGTGACTAGCAGTTATTCAATAAAGAAATAAGAAGGAAGCTTGGAAGCTTTCAAATTTCTTATGAGAACATAAAGGAAACAAATAATTACATTACAACCAGAAAGTGGCAGAGAACAGATGGCAGCTAAGAGACATCCTTCTGGGACTCTTCCCTAAAGACCAGTTTTGAATCCCAGGCTATATAATCTTGGAATAATAAGGGGAGTACTTGAATACAATACTAATAAAGGTATAACATGTAGTTCTTGTATCAGAAAACTTCAAAAGCTAATTAATGTACTCTTGGTACCATGACACCTAGATCCAATAAGAAAGTTGAAAAATTTGAATGCTAATTTGATAGTTTGTCTTTTTGGCTACTTTCCTATTCTGTGCTCTCTCAATAGTTTTCAAAAAATAACTAGAGAAAATGAATCACATGAAGATATGAAAATAATCTCAAATGCACATTCTTTTGATTTACTACCATGAGAATATGTGTAAAAACTGAAATATGAACAAAGAAGCACCTTCTAAAAGAGACTTTGTAATAAATTCCAAAGTACCTAAACTGAGATACACTTTAGTAAGCAACTTCACCTTTCCTATATATTCAGATATGGAATACATAATCTTCAAAACCATATATTGCTACTCAAATATTTTCAATAAACACTTTAATCTTACCAAATAAGACATTTGGACAGTCATTTCTATCTTACTGACATTAAACTACATGAAATGGCCCCTACTATAGTCTTAATAGGTTTAAGGTTCTCATAAATTTCAAAAATAACATTTTTATTGCTAATTACCAGCATAAAAGTAAAACTCAAAATACTTCAAAAGGTAATAAATCTACTTAAAAGCAGCAGTGCAAATGAAAATTACTAATATGCCCACCTATTACAAACAGAATATGTCATGGTACATACTTCTGCACAGGTCCGGTATGCCTGACTTCCCGCCATTCTTCATCTGGATTTGATGTAATAGAAAGTGAGTAGCAACCACTGCTTTGCTTCTGCAGAAAGGTGTATGTAGGCTTAGCTGTATCTGTATTTGAGGGCTGAAAGAAAATGACAAGGCAAAGTTTCCTTATCAATACATAAATAAAAACACAATAACTTCGAAAAGAACAAAGGTAAAACCTAAATTTGTAACTGAAACTATGACTAAAATCCACATCAATGAACTATATACTAAAATTTCTTTTAAAGATATAACCAAACCAAAAAAAAAAAAATACTTGTGATCAAAAGATAGTGTATATTGTAAACTTAAGTGTTTAAGATATGGGGCTCTAAAATTAAAGAAGAATTTTACAACTGAAGCTCAAGATAATCCAAACATATGATAAATAACAGAAAAAGATTTAAAAAAATTTTTTTTAGTTGTAGATGAACACAATACCTTTATCTTTTTATGTGGTGCTGAAGATCAAACCCAGAGCCTCACACATGCTAGGCAAGAACTATACCACTAAACCACAACCCCCGCCCCCCAAAATTTAAAAGAGGTTGAGTTTATATCATAAATTGATATCCATAATTGGAAAACACAAATTTGATTACATAATATAAGAAGCAAAAATTTCTAACATTATCTAGAAGGATGGCAAAGTATTAAGCATCTTCTTAAATTAATGTGCCTTTCTAAAGGCCTTCTGAATAAAAGATGAGCCTCAGACCATATCCATGTATGTGTTTGGTGGGCATGTGCACATCTGTGTATGTATAGCTACTTAACAAAAACTTTTCTTTCTAGAAGTATTTTGCAGATATATAAGATACATGTAAATAATCAATCTCCTATAAAAATAAAAATAGTATTTTTAATTTCCTATTATTTCAAGTTCATTTTAGACTTACAGACATTTCCAAAAAAAAATAAATAAAATACAGATGCAGCTAAGGTTCACCTAAAATCTTTTTTTAAAATATTTTTTCAGTTGTAGATGGACATAATATTTTTATTTATTGATTTATTTGTTTATGCTTGTTTGTTTGTTTGTATGTGGTGCTGAGGATTAAAACCAGTGCCTCACACATGTGAAGCAAGCACTCTGCCACTAACCACAATCCCAGCCCAGATTCCCCTAATCTTAATATCGCATACAACCACAGTATAATTATCAAAAGCAAGAAATTGGGGCTGGGGCTGTGGCTTAGCAGTAGAGCGATCACCTAGCACAGGCGAGGCCCTGGGTTCAATCCCCAGCACCACATAAAAATAAATAAATAAAGATATTGTGTCCTACTACAACTGGAAAATAAATATTTTTTTTAAAAAAAATCAAGAAATTATCACTGATAAAATACTATTAACTAGATTACTAGACTTTACTCTGACTTCACTAGTTTTTCCCTTAATATCATTTTTCTATTTAGGATCCTACGATTCCTTAGTCTTTTCTTGTCTTTCATGATCTTAATACTTCAGAAGAGTACTGATCAGTTATTTTATGATTGGGTTTGTCTGGTTTATTTTCATGATTTAGATTAGGGTGAGGCATTGCTGAAAAGAGCAACACAGAAGAAGTTATGTACTCTTCTTAGTGTATTATATCAGGGGGTACATTATATCAATATCTTATTGATGGTGATATTAATTTTGCTCACTTGGTTAAGGTGAGGTCTGCCAGGATTCTGCACTGCAAATTTACTAGGTTTCTTTTTGTAATTAATAAATATTTTAGGCAAGAGACTTTCATATTCACATATCCTATTTCTCCTTAAATTTTCACGCATCAAATTTAGCATCCATCAATAGACCTTGCCTGCAACAATCAAAAATATAGTGTTTTAGTGGTGGTTTTACATTTTCCTATTGCTTTTCCATTTATTAACTAGATACTTTTCTAAGAAAAAGCACCCTTACACACCATTTATTATTTAATTTTTATTCATTCATCAACTGTTATCTATTTATATCAGTATATATTTAAACATATTTATATTACTCTTTGGTGATAAACCCATGCTGTCATTATTGATTCTGTGAAACAAACTTTCCAACTTTAGTATTAGAGTACTTTCAGATTGATTCCTGTGCCCTTTTGACAAAATATTGTGTTTTGAAATCAGCCTAATATTGGTGAAAGAATTTTTACCTCTTTACTTACCCACTGTCAATCATATTAATTGTATGCTAACCTGAGATACTGATTTCATCTTCATTTCTTCAGTAGTGGCAGGGAAAGAACAAGTTGAAGCACAATAATAATGAATAAAAGAACTTTCTTTTGAAGAGAGGTTCTGAAACAGCGGAAATGCCTGAACCCAAGACAATGGATAAGAAAGTTCTAATTCTCCATGGGTAGTACTTATTTCCATCATAATATCTTTCAATTTCAATTCTTCTCTTTGTGAAATGGGATTGTTTAGCTCAAGGAAAATGAATTCATTAGATTTTGCTACAAAAAAAAAGAAATCAATTTTTACCACAAGTATTATTTTTCAAGGGAATTATAATTAAGATAATTTAATTATGAAAAATAGAAAAGTTTGATATAAAACCCAACAAAGTATTTTGCATGTTAATGATAAATGATGCAAATTAAAATCTGAAAATACACCATCAGTAATCTAGAACCAAAATTCACAATTTTTGAACTCCTGTTCTACCACATTAGAATGGAAATTCTGCAATGGTATTGACTGTTGTATCTTCAGTGCCTACCATTTACTAAGTGCTAGTAAACATTTATCAATGAATGATAATTAAATAATTACTCATTTTTCTCTAGTCTTCCATATATCAAATTTAACAACTAACAAAGTATTGTAATTAAACACTTCCTTTATTTTCTTTCCTCAATCATTTTAATAATGGTCTCCAAATCACTGCCTTCCTCCACAATGATTATAAATGGCTCTTTACATTTATCTCAACTTCTTGCTATTTAATTATTAATTTTCCCATTGGAAGTAATTAGAACAGGGAAATAACAGGTTTTAAAGGTATAAAATTAAGCTCACTATTTGACATCTTTAATGTGCAACAAAGTAGGGGAAGGAAAGTAAAGAGATAAAAAGATATAAGAAAAAGACTAACTTGAGGTACCTAATTTTAAACCAAACTATATTAGGAGTTAGAAACTAAGCAAAGTTGAGAAATATCTCAAGATGCACATTATGTAGATATGTGTTATTGATGCCTACAGAAAACCATTCAATCCAACCTTAGAGGCATGGTATATAAGCAAGCTGAATTTTATTTTTCAGAAACTAAAGAAAATACCAAAAGTAAAGGAATCTATATTTTGTTTAGTCTTGCCACTAATTAACTGTCATAATTTATTATGAAACAGTAGCAAGAAACTCACAGAAAAGGTAGCCAAGGGAAACAACTAGAAGATATTTCTTTTATATTTTTTAAGAGCATAGTAACTTTTTAGTTTCAAGGTATATACCATTAAGATTATTTGAGGTATTCTTTTTATTTTAGAATGTAATTTCACTAAGTTGAATAAAATTACCATGAAAAATCATGTTAACAGGTAAAATAATTTATCTTATATAACATTAGGGGATAAGATTATTTTTAATTCAATAATATTAATTTCAGTTCAATGAAATAATTGGTTTATTAAATTATTTAAAAGAAAATTACTTTATTTATAGGACTTTTCAGGTTATCCTGAAATTTTAAAGTTATTTTATACTCACATTGTTGGCTAAATACAGAGTGTTCTAATTGGGCCTGAATCTCTTGAAGGTAATTTGGAGAGACCCAGAGGAAAAGGATAGCATGACTCCTTTTACTGTGATCATCACCCTTATTCTTCCATAATCCAAACCTCTTTAAATGAGTGGTATCCACTAACAACGAAACCTCATTCAGGGACACTGAAACAAAGAAAAGACAAAAACCTAAAAGTCAACCTATTAGGAATACAGGATTTATGCACTATGTGACACTTCCTAATGCATTATATTTTTTTGAAAGAACTACATGCCAAGTTTTTCAGAAACATAATTCCAGTACACTGCATTAAACTTCGCTGAAATACCTGAAGCAGTATTAGTAGAGTAAAAATATCACATTAAAAATTAGGAAGAGCTAAAGAATTACTAAATGATAATTAAATGCAGAGGTTACTCTCACACAATATGATTTCAGTTATATCCAAAAAAGAAAAATTTGAGGCTAAATTTCTGCAGCATGAAAATTTTATGCAAATAGAGTTCTCACTACGAATTCTAATATCTTAAGTCTACTGCAGAAAACTAAGTATAGCATAACTTAAAAAATTCTCAGTTTCTATCTTTCTTATCTTGGTCAATACTATAATCAAAGACCAATTTCTGCCCATATTTATTTTCCTAAAATATCTGCATTTCACCATATAGACAAGCTAGATTATCAGGAGGTTTTGAATGGTTGAATATATTTCTTTTAAAGTTCTTCCAGGTTTTACTTCTCAAAACTTCTAAGTAATAACTCTAAATTATTAGGTTTTCTCTTAACTAAAAAAAAATCCTCCTCTGGAATTTCTTTTTGTAACTCAAATAACCATAGAAAACTGGTTTAAAGAAGTCCTGAGGTCATCTAGTCCAACTTTAAGAAAGCAAGCAGCTAAACCAGGAAGACAACTATCATTTAAATATAAAATTAAGATGAGTGCCTATCTGAAATAGTATTCCCTATTAGGACTCCCCTCTGTCTTATTTCATGTCACCTTGCTACTCAGAGTGTGGTCTTCAGCCTGTGACACTGCCATCACCTGGAAGTTTGTTAGAAATATTGGATATTAGATCCCACTCCAGATCTCAGTTTAATAGCTTTGCATCAGGTGATTAATTATGAACATTAAAGTTTAAAAATAATTTTATAAGAATCATTCAAATACTTGATTAACCAGTCATCTTTATGTTCCTAAGTCCACCATTCAATTCTTCATATCATAACTCCCCATTATGAAAATAAAGTACTAGCAATGACAAACATTTGATTAAAAGAGGGGAGAGAACCCTCAAAACACTGCTCTTCATTTCTTCCTCACATAGCCCACAACGCTACACCCACTTTTCCATTCCTTCTAAGTAACAGGATCCTAACTTTATTAAGGGAAGCAAGATGCTCACCTTTGAATAACCTAATTCCTTGTTTTCTTTACAAATACGTGTATGACCATAAAATTAAGTCAGCTAGTAAAATGTAAGCAGAAGGGTGGCGTATTCTTCCAAGTAGGATCCTTAGAAGGGAAACTGTATGTGTTCTTATTATTATTTTCCCCTTTCACCTGACTTCTGTCTGAAACACTAACATGATGGTGGAGTATGAGCAGTAATACTGGCCATAAAACAAACATGGGGATGAAAGTCATGCATCAAGGATGAGAATAGAAAAATAAGACTCTAGGCCACTGAGCACCATGGAAACACAATGCCAGTGCAGCCTACCTCTAGATTTCTTCGTGTCAAGGAAAATTAAACTACTTTCTCTAAGCCACTGAAATTCTATTTTCAGCCAAATAGAATTAATAGCAAATATAAATATGGATAAATTTTTCCCTCAAATCATGAAAGAAAGGAAACATTTAGATGCCTAGGATCCCATCAAAAAGACTGTTTTATATGCAAGTCTTGTTTAAAAAAAAATTGGATATGGGAAAATAGCCACAGGCAGCATTATAAAGTTGAAAGACTTATTGTCATTGAAAGAAGTATTTTTCCACAATTTGTAAATAAAATTGTACTTTAAACACCATATGGAACTCTATTATGTGTAACTATAATACACTAATAAAACCATTTTTAAAACATTATGGGTCAGAAAAATATAAAATAACAATATTTGAAACAAAGTGTAAATATGCACTATGAAAATCTAAAATATCGCTTTTTGATACTTGTATCATAAAACTTGGGAAGTAGCTCTCTTCACTACCTAGGTCTTTATAGATTGTAGCATTACTACTTTTTCTAAAAGTTACATGTCTTTATTTCTTCTGAACAGTAAATACTATATTATTCCTAATAATTTATTAGCATTTCTTAATAAGGATTATAAATGTATTATTTTGTGCCTTATATATTACTACTTAAGTGATAATATAATTATTAGATTCATTATCACAACATAAGTTTTAGATTCTGAACATGGGGTATCTGAAGAATTCAACTAAGGTTATTTTGGTCACATCTTCAATCTCAAACAGAAGCTTCTTCTTTAGTTCATATCTGAAGTGCTACTTGTGTGTGGATTTTTCTTCCTTGTTCTTATCATTCTTTCTCTAAAGAAAGAATTGTTTATTCTTGTCATTATCTATTCTAAAAGATTTTCAACTGGGGAGTGAATGAGAAAACAGTTTGAATCTCTTTAAGTTGCAGGTACATTTTTCCACCCTACTCTGCTTTACTCACACAAGAAATGGTATAAAAATCTCTTAGCATCTATGCAAAAACAATACATGTCTATGTGCTTCCTTCCCTGTAGTTCCTATTTTCATTCATTCTTGTGAATGCCAAAAATAGTCTTGCTATTTTCCAAAATTTTATTTCCGCTAATACTAAGAAGTCACCATGAATACTTTAATATTGTTTTGATTTATAGTCATTAAAACAATAATCACTATTTTCAGTGTGTAAAACATTTTAATTCTCTTGTGGAGCTGCTAAAAAATGTTAAAGTGTAACATTATTAAACTACCTTAGTTTTATTTACATTCTATACTGAAAAAATCATGAAAAACTGTTTGAAAAAGGATTTCAGAATTTTTGCTAACCAAAATTTTATGCTCAAAATTACAGTGAAAAGGGAAGAGAATGATAGCTTACCTTGAAATGGGATTTTAATATACTTTGTTGTGAACTAAAGAAAAATAAAAGCAAAAAATGAGTTACTACCCAAAATGTGTTAAGTTTAAAAAAATTTTAATACCACAATTACACATTCAAAGTTTACATGAAAAGTGCTCAAGCCCATCTATCAGTAAACCAAGAAAATGCTTTACTCTAGAGATTTAGTTTTAGGGATGTTTAAGAACCTTGTGCAAATAATGTAATTCTCAATATGCTCATTTATAAAAACTGTCAAGACTTTAATAAATATATGTTTCGAAAATGTCCTCTAAAAATTTAAGGAAGACATAAGCCAAAGTCCAGAATAAACTACCAAGAGACCATACAAGGTAGCTGATTCAGAAGCTGATGATGATTCTCTTAGGGATGAAATTATAGCAATCAAACTCATAAGAGACATGTGAACAAACCAAAGTACCAATGTACTATATTATTTGTAATGAGACATTAACATGTACCACCTGCAATGAACATTTTGTTCTGTAGAAGAACAAAAGACTGCTTTTACCACATGAAAACAACTGGAAAAAACAGTTGATTAGTATAAAATGGCTACAAAAATCTAATAAATCCAACTTGTGATGCACTTGTCAATATGACAACATAAATTAAGTACAAAAGACAGAATACTCTCTCCCTTGGATAGCCTTAGCTGAGTACTGCCAATTCTTTTATCCCTAACATTTTCACCTTTTGGTTACACATTACAAATTCCCTTCTGACTGAAGTTCTTGTTCTTTCTGCTCCTTCTTTCCCAAGAAACTTATTTTTTCTAGGTATCTTTTATATATATCTGATTATCCTAAATGTTGCTTTTATAAGCTAATACTATATTATCCCTTAATAATTTAAAACCATTTCCTAACAAGGATTATCAGTGTATTATTTTGTGCATTATATATTCCTACTACTTAAGTGATAATATAATTATTAGCTTCATTATCACAACATAAGTTTTAGATTCTGAACATGGGGTATCTGAAGAATTCAACTAAGGTTATTTTGATCACATCTTCAATCTCAAACAGAAGCTTCTTCTTTAGTTCATATCTGAAGTGCTACTTGTGTGTAGATTTTTCTTCCTTGTTCTTATCATTCTTTCTCCAAAGAAAGAATTTTTTTATTATTTTCTTGTCATTATCTATTTAAAAGATTTTCAGTTGGGGAGTGAATGAGAAAACAGTTTGAATCTCTTTAAGTTGCAGGTACATTTTTCACTCTATTCTGCTTTACTCACACAAGAAATGGTATAAAAATCTCTTAGCATTTGTACAAAAACAATACATGTTTATGTGCTTCCTTCCCTGTAGTTCCTATTTTCATTCAAGTTCCTATTTTCTCAAGGCCAAATCTTACAAATGTACCATCTAAAACAAAAGACATTTGTGTTTTGAAGTTTGGTTTTTCCATTAATACCAAAGGAATGTGCCTGTTTACTTATTCTTTGGTTAAGTTTCTCTTTTGATCAATACGTATATAAAACTGTTGATCATATCAGGGTTAGTCTGTAAGCACAAGACAGAAAGCCAAGATGATCTTGGTATTTGAATTTTATATAAGTTAGCAAACAATGTTCATTGAAACCACAGGTTTGACTCCATTTATTTTTTCAATTTAAAAATTATTTCATATTGCATTTTCACAAATATAAAAGACATCTAATATAGGGTAAGTCAGCCATTGAAGCAAAATAACACAACAGGACATACTAGTTTAAAGCTGAGTTTGGAGTTCAAATCCTGTATGTATTGTCTCCACCATTAACATAAATAATAACTAGGTAAACAGGCAACATATTGAAATTCTCACAGCTTTAGCATGACTCTTAAGCCAGGGGAGTCTCTATCATTAGACACTAGCATCTGATTAACAATGAGTTATCTAATTTAATACAAACAAATACATCTTATTATTCTCTTACTTTCACATAATTGCTACATATATTTACCCTTTGCAAATCATTCTGGTATGTCTCACTGGGTCTTTAATCTCATAAAATATTCCTAGTAAAAGTAACTAACTAGTTCTACAAATTGAATATAAGAGTTGCTTGCTTTTCAGTTTATATACCTGTTATTACAAAATACTGCATCTGTATGATCCTTACTACACTTTCTCTTTCCCCCTCTTTCCACGTCATCAAGAACTCTTGTCCTATCAAGCTAGTCTACTTGGCAAGTATCTGACAATGATCTATATCTCTGAATGACAACTATGGCTAATGTTATTTCTCCCAGAGATAAAAACCCATTTATAGCAAAATAATTAATCCCCAGTTAAGAAAGTGAGAAAAATGTTTTTGTGACATTAAGGTAAATCCAGTTTTCTGAAGTTACTAAACTGGTTTAAACTCTAAAATAAAGATGAGCCTAAGAGTTATTTCATAATTTCTATGACATCTAGAACCAGTCTCTGAACATAATTTATACCTAATAAACATTTTCCCATCATAAAAAAGATAAGATTTAAAGAAATAAAAGGTTTCCAATTATTGCAACATTTTTTACACTTAAAAAAAAAAACCTAACTCAAATGCCCAACTAGAGGAAAATGGCTTTAATGTGTATAATTTTCCACCATTGATATTTTTCTAATTCAGCTAAAGTATAAGTCTCATGAGACTTAAAACACTATCTCCAGTATCTATAGCAAAGTCTAACATACAACAGTGAATGTTTAGAGACTAAATGAATTTAATTTCTAAATACCCACCAAAAATATAAAATAAGTTCTTTAATTCTGTTACAGAGAATCATGAACTGTGTCTGAAAGAATATACGTAAAATGTCTTTTGAAAAACCTAAAATTTTTAAGACTTTTACTCTTTGCTCTTTTTGGTTATTCAATATACTTTTTAATTTTTAAAACTGCCTTCACTTTCTACATTATAACTGAATTTTTGCAGAATTCCTTTTAGTCATTGTTCACACACATGTATTTACTTTGATTTACTAAGCTACTTTCCTATAATCACACACTCAAATTTTAATTTTAAGAAATGTTCGAACAAATATAAGACAAATTTTTAAGACCTACATTATTTGCAGTCCCCTATATATAATAAAACATTGGAACAACAGAAATGACCAACAAATTGGAAGAAATTAAACTAATTTAATAAAATTGTGGTAAGTTGCAAAGAAGCATGTATAATGCAGTATCCTTTTATTTTAATCTATCTATGGATATGGAATGATATACACTAAAAAAACTGGCAGTTGTCTCTGGATAAGCACGATGATAAATTATTTTTATACTGTTCGTTTATTCATTTGTAGATTTTTTTAAATTTAATTTTGGTTTTTGCTCATAAAAAGTCCATTTGTGTAATTTCATAATTAATACACTAATTAATAAAAATTTCATTAATGAATACACTGGATTTTTCTCCCTTGGATAAACAATTATTGTCATATATTTAGGTTATCCAGTTTGTTTCCCATTACAAAGAGCTCTACAGAAATAACTGTTAAAATCTGAATTTATAATTAAAAAAAGCAAAGCAGGGGAGAAAATCCTGAAAAATGAACAAAATTCTTTTTTAAAAAAAATTATAACATTACCTCAGGCATACCAAAATCATTAATATTTGTAAAACAGTGGCCAGGGAATATTAATTTTAAACCAAATATTTCTTAAGCTTTCAAAAGATGTACAAATGAGATGCTACAAGTACATAGTAAAAAGAAAAGTTAATCAGCTGAGAAGAGAGGATCAGGGAGTTTCCTGGAAGAGGTAGTATTTCAGATAAGCCTTAAAAGATGATTAGGATTTTAACAGGCACAAATAGTAAGAAAATAAATCTGACTGAAATCTAGTCTGTCATTCATATATACTCTGTGAAAAGAAATGTCTTTTTAGTGAGAAAACAGATTATAATCAATTCCTGGACATCCAAATTAGGAATTTGGAGAAATCTTTTTATAACAGTTTAAACCAAAAAAAAAAAAAAAAAAATTAGATTTCTTCTTTCTGCTCCAAACTATAACCTGAAAAAAGTTCACTTTACTTACAACTAACTTTTAGAGCCCAAAGAATATGTGATTTTTTTTCATACATGATTTTCATTAGAATAGCTGTAACTGAAAGAAAAACCCAAATAAACTCTCCATGTTTAATTGCTTTTAATAGGCTTTAAAAATCAATAATTTTGGAGGTCACACAGCTGCATGATGTCTCCCACTTGCTCAGCTACAGAAGACACCTCTGACTAAAGCCATTTAACAGGTTAAAATGCCTTTTGCCATCTCCTAGTTTTGCCAAAATTACCTATTCCTGGGAAAAGAACTAAGACACAAATCATAAAACTTAACTTAATAATCAGTAACTTTTCTCTAGAATTACAAAACCAAGAACATATGAGGGTCTCTAGATAACATCAGAGTATGAAGCAAGAATTTACTAATCTTGTCCTTTAATTAGAGTGAAATAATATCTAATGAATTATAGGGACTGACCTAGGAAATGATAGTTGATTGTTATCTTAAGGATATTCTGGCAGAAAAGAAAAAAAATCAATCCTGATAATGAAGGACGGCTCAGCACATAATCTTCCTACTAATTGGCCCCTTGGCTCCTCCTGCCCCCACCATAAAGATCTTTGTGCCCCTAAAAATTGCCTAAGATGGTCTTTGTGAGTGAGAGCCTCCCATCTTTGGTTTGCTGACTTTCCAAATAAATCTTTTTCTTCACCCCAACAATTCTCCTTTGAATCAGTGGCAAGTAAAAAAAGAGAATTTTAGGAGAGGAAATTAAAAAAACATTTCAAAGTCTGATGACTTTCAACATATCCCAAGTGCCCCATATAAAATTAATCTCAATTCTGTTTTCATTTGTACAAACATACAAATCTGAAAATGCCTTGTCCAAAATCCAAAAAGAAAAAAAGAAAAAATACTTACTGTAATACAACCTTTAGAAGTTCCTTTTATTTTACCAATATACACAGAAGTAAATATAAAATCCAGTTTTAGATCTGTCTCATTATTAGGAATAACACAGGAAATGTTTTCCATGACTGGATTATATGGGCATAATTCAGATGATTCCTAATGAATAATAAATAATGAAATGCATACAATATAAGTATTATATAAATGCTAAAAATAATCAAAGTCAATTTTTAAAAACTACTACTAATGAATTTATGAAGAATTTTACATTGTTTTTTTAAAATATGTTTTAATTGAAGGTGGACACAATACCTTTATTTTTACTTATTTATTTTTATGTAGTGTGGAGGATCTAACCCAGTACCTCAACCATGCTAGGCGAGTGCTGTACCACTGAGCCACAACATCAGCCCCTTACATTGTTCTTATAATGTGAAGAAATAGTTACACATTTTTTTTTTCTGAAGAGGTATATGGTTTGCCTTGAGAAAATTAAAGTCAAATCCAAAATTAATTCCATAGGCCTAACCACCAGAAATATATTCTTATCTGCATCAAAGCCATGGCTTCCCATTCTGAATTCCCTGACTGGCTTTATACAATTTTAACTCAACAGATAAATTTAGATTCATGTAGTACTTTAATTTAAATGAGTTTTAAATATGTCTTTTAAACTCTACAACCATCTTACAGGTAGATTTTCTTTTTCCCATTTCTTAAAGTTAGTAGATGTTTGGATTGGTTAAGTAACTTGCCTAAGGTTATAAGTAAGTCAGTGACAATCAAGTTTCTGTCTCTAGGACAAGTACCAAAGCACACAAAATTGCTTCCATTAACCACACTTTTGTGAGAAGGGACCGGGGAACACTGGAGATTGAACACAGGGTGCTCTACACACTGAGCTACACATACAACCCTTTTCATTGTATTTTGAAGCAGGGTTTGGCGAAAATGCCCAAGTTGGGCTTGAACTTCTAATCTTCTGCCTCAGCCTCCAAGTCCATGGGATTACAGATGTGTACCACTGCACCCAGTTGCTATTACTCTTTCAATAAGCAATGAAAGAATGTAAGCACTCAAGAACCATCTGTTACATCAAATCTATTATGATTTATTATAGATTCTGTTTAAACACAGCTAACCAGAAATGGATCATAGTTACCAAAAGCCTCAAAACTCATATCACCTACTCTTAAGTAACTGCTTTTAAATGATATACAACCAGATTATGTCAAAATGAATGACATTTTTACATATAACTATAATGAACCAATAAACATAAAAATAATAATATACAACTAGATAATATTAGTAACTATGCCCCACAATCTCTTCTGAATTTTACAACTTTCAGATGACTTTTCAACTCCACATATATCCAGCCTCTGCAACATCATAAATGACCTAATAAATTATCACCGTAGTAATTATTATGTATATGTACTCACTCCCCTTATAACAAATGTGATTAATCCTCATCTACAACATACATAGTATTCATTAACCCAGCTCACAATGCTTTGTCATTTTCTTCTTTTATTGCTATATTTTATTCCCTAAATAAAAAGGAGAATCAGATCAACCGCAAGTGACTTCAATCAGGCAGAACAATAACTATGACTTTATTTTAGTGATAAAATGAAAAGCTAGCCAGGCACAGTGGTGCATGCCTGTAACATCAACAGCCTCGAAGGCTGAATCAGGCAGATCAAAAATTCAAAGCCAGCCTCAGCAAAAATGAAGCTTTAAGCAACTTATTGAGGCCCTGTCTGTAAATAAAACACAAAACAGCTGCAATGTGGCTCAGTGGTTGAGTGTCCCTGAGTTCAACCCCCCCCCCAACCAAACAACCGCAAAAAAAGGGTGGGGAGCGAGAGAGAGAAGCTGATTAAAAAATAATTTAATGTGGCTTGTGCTTTGTAAAGAGTGTCTCCAAAAATAACCAGAAACAAGGCAGGGCACAGAGATATGGCAATTGCCTTATATCTACTGATTGGTCCCTACAGAATTTACTGCTTGGTTATAACCATGAATTCTGTGAGAGGTTTTTTTTGTAATATGATCATTTCATACTGTATTGATAATTTATATACTGCCAACGCAACCATAATTTATCTACAAGTTTAAACTCACTAGTAATGACATTTTGCAGTGGGAGGTGGGCAGTTACCAGGGATTGAACCTAGGGGCACTTAAACACTGAATCACGTCCCCAGGTCTTTTTTTTTTTTTTTTTTTTTGGGGACAGGGTCTCACTAAGTTGCTAAGGCTGGATTTTGAACTTGCCCCCCGCTTATCGGGAGCTGCCAGGCAGGAGCTGAGCAGCCCCTAACTTTGAGTGATGGAAATGTGGAGACTGGCTTCCCTAACCAGGAAACAGGTGGATCCCCATCTCCACTCAGCAGGGGAGCAAAGCTTTGGGAGTGGGCCTTACCCAATAGGAGTGGGCTGGCCCTTGTAACATTACCCTTTTTGCCTTATATGGATGGAATGTTCCAGGAGCACTCCCTCTCTTTCTTGCCTGCCTTGTCCCCTTTGTGGGAGATGGGTCAGAGGAGCCGGCACAGAACCCAAAGAAAAAGGTATTTTCTCTGTCTTTGTGTGATTATTTCATGCCAGCCCAGTTCACCTAGAGTGACCCTGACTGATTTATCTGTGTGTCATAACAAATGGTGCCCAAACAGGGACTCCAGCATGAATTTTAGAAATTTAGTGGGTTTGGATCTTTCCAGAAGCTAAGCGTGCTTAGGATTTCAGAATATTGTGGGTTGAATTGTCAAAAGTAAGGGAATTAGAAGAAAAATTTGTGATGTTAAACTCATATAACATCTGGGAATTTTTGGTCTTTAGAAAGAGAAAAAAAAATATTTTTTGCAATTCTAGGGACCCTAATTAGATATAGAGAATAAAAAATTAGAAAATTGGAGGTCCCACTGAGATTAGTAAGGTGATTGATGAACTATGGTGATTGATGAACTATGTCATTAAGTTCAGTCCTCTCCCATTTGGATTCTTTTTTGTGGAATTTTTGTATTTTGAAATATCAGGTAAAGATTTGGGGGTTTATGTGCTAGGAATCAATGTCTGGAGAATGAGAGGAAAAGAGAAAGTTTTTTTGTGGTGGAACTTGATACGGGGTATTTTCTACTTCTGGAGAGGCAAATTTTGTTTTTCTGCTGTTTTTTTAAAGGTGCTCAAATTCAGCTGCTGCTATGGGACAGATACAAGGCTTTGACAGCTGTTCTCTATGGGACTCTATAACTAGACGCACTGCTAGCAATATTCTGCCCTTTAAAAAACCTAATTTGACAAAATGCAGGCTGCTTCAGAGGCAAATGCAGCATCTGCCTCTGAAGCCCGATTGGGAGTTTGAGGATTTTTCTTTTTCTTTCTTCTTCTTCTTCTTTTTTTTTTTTTTTTTTTAATGACTGCATGCTTCAGAAGGGAGCTGCGGGAGACATGAACAGCAATCCACAGAGGAAAGGGCAAATGGCTGAATGCCCATACTAAGCGCGAGGCAGCTGCAGCTCCGGAGCAGGGAGCGACAGGACGTGTGTGTGGCCATCTAAACGCAGACCCACCCATCAGCACCAGCGTAAACCTTTTAAAGCACCCACGGAACGCTTGCGCTACGAGGGGTACAGGAGCATGACAGCTCCACGCCCGCTGCTCCAAAAGTGCTGGCCATAACTGGCATAGACACAGGCCAACCCGGCCGTCGCTCCCGCCCACAGGGACAGAAGCACAGTATGGCTGCCGAGCCTCCACGCCCGGAGCTCAAGGAGCCATAAGCAACAAAGCCCTGAATGGCGGCCTGCAGCGACGCAAGCAGGACCGCCGCCCACCTTTGGCTCCGGGATTCTGACGGGACATCCCCAGGAGCTCCCGCCCGGGGCAGCCGCTGGACAGCGGATGGCGCTGTGGCTCGCTGCAACCGCCCGGAGCCTAGCCTGGCCGAGCCCGGCTTCCCGCTTCGCCACGCGCCAGCTGGCCCGTCAGCCAAGGGAACATAGGGCCACCCTGCCGACCTCCACGACCCCGGGGGACTAGTGAAATGCCCACGCCTTTTTTTTTTTTTTTTTTTTTAATCATGATAACCACTTACAAAGCGCAGGCTGGACCGCCAAGACACCGGCACAAGTCACTGGGCGCAAGACCCGCCCCAGCGTGACGAGGTGGGGGTGGGGGAGGATGACCGAACACCAAACAGCCTAGCTCCAAGGATTTTCGCCTGGGAGCCTAGGGCAAGTGCTAGCGTACCTTCTCCCCCAAGCGGCCCACCCCGGCGGGGAGAACACGGGATCAAAACGCCAAACCAGCCCCAGATGCGAACGGCAGCGGTAGCGGCTGGTCGCAACAGCCATGCCTGCTGGCTCCACGCTGTTACAACCGCTGGCGAAAACACAAAGCCGCAAACGCATCACTGGGCACAACAAGGGTTCAACCAGAACTGCTAGTAATCGGACATGCGAAATGCACACGACCTCAAGAAAATTTTGGGTTACACGTTGGGTCCATGCTTTAGCACGAAGAAATCCTTCAGCCTAGTGGCTGCCCGACAAAATGGCAGAAAAGTCCCGCCTCCCGCGTTTCCACAGGCTTTCCTTTGGTCCCTCCCACCGTCAATCAAGCAGCTCTGCCTCCCATTACTAATATACTTGTTTCTCACTCAGGCTTTTGACAACCAGAATTACAAGACCTGCGCCCAGCTGTTAAAAAAATTCCTTCATGATTTTAATACATTCCCACTAATGAAAGATATTTATTTTTCAGGTAAAATTTGATTTGGCAAACTCCTCCATTAAGTAACCTGATTTTTTTCTCTATAGCTTTATTATTAATAAAAAATTGCAATAATGTCACAGGAATAAGAGAGATTTTGCATACCCTTTTTCATAACTTAACCTTCTTTTTAGGAACTATATTTGGATGGATTTGACCACTGTGAAAACAAGCTGGCACCAAAAATGTTTACACAGTGTTTTCATGATGGCCAAGAAATCCTTCTTCCTTTCATTTCTAACTATGTAATTACAATAAATAAAATATACATAAGGATCTTATTTTAGCTACATCATGTGACGTTACATAAAAGTGCACTCCTAGTTGAAAATAAGTGATATTTTAAGAACCACATGGTTTCATAAGATTTACATAATTATAAGCTATTTATACATTTATTATAAGCTATTTATATATTTATTTTTAATGCATATTTTTCCAGTTATTTAAATAATCTTACTCTTTAATTCATAACATAATTAAAATATACGTGTCTATTTGCTTCTAATTGTTTTCCCTCAACAGGAAGCATTTAATTTATACTTTTACTTATGCATTTTTCTAATGCTCTGCCTTTTATAGTTAAAAATATTTAAGATAAATGTAATTTGTTGTAAAATACTTACTTCAAGAGATACTACATTATAAAGTTTAAAATATAACCATCAAATGATTTCTAATTCCTAAATCATTATTTAGGTTTTTGTAAAGAGACAGATATAATTCTATGAAACAAAGATGTCCAGAAAAATTCTCACTAAAAAATAACAATTATTTAAATTCTAAGACTTACAGGAATTATTCCAAATATAACCATGGAAGAATTCTAGAAGGAGGGGCTGGGGATGTGGCTCAGTGGCAGAGTCCTTGCCTTTCACATGTGAGGCACTGGGTTCGAGTCTCAGCACCACATAAAAACAAATAAATAAAATAAAGGTTAAAAAAAAAAAAAAAAAAGAATTCTAGAAAGATAAAAGGATGCTTCTCCAGAGAAAAAGCACACATTAGAGAGTCATAAGAGGAAGAAAGAAATCATCTTTGGGTAAAAAAAAAAAAAAGTCTTTATATATTCTAAGATTTTAATGAAAAAAGGATTTTCCTGAATAGGGAAATCTTTGTATAATTGTCTAGACAGTGCTATAGAAAGTTGAGACAGTTTGAAAACAGATATATATATATGTGTGTGTGGCTGGACTGACTATATGGACTGATCAATTCTAGGACATTTCAGGCTATTCCCAATACTAATATACTGACATAAGCTAAGATTTTTGTCCATATTCTGACATAACAGAGCTTATTAAACATTAAGCTTATACTTAGTAATTTTGCTGTTTAAACAAGGATTAAATTTTTAGTAAATAAATTCACATCCTTGATTAAACAATAAATGTCTTCGAATACTACCTAGAGTTCTAATTTTGAAACTTCTCCTAAAAAATTAAAATCAGTAATTATGATTATTACTTCAAATTCTTACATATTATTTCTGTTTTATTAGATATTTATGGGATTTAAGAGAGCATTTTATGCTTATTAAACACATGTATTTTCTATTCTGGAAAGATGTGTGTGTGTGTGTGTGTGTATGTGTGTATGTGTGTGTATATATATATATATATATATATATTTCTCATGCCCTTAGTAAAGGCTACAGCTCCTAAATTAAAAACTCTGCCTCTGGCTTCTTTCCAAATTAAGATGATCATTTAAATTAATCTAGAGCTACAAGGTACAAATTTTTATATACAGCTTATTATATTCTTCATTTTTGGTAATTCTGTTAAAATCAAAATCAAGTCATACATTTAGTAAAGGCAAAGTTTCTATTTAACATGGTCCCTTTCCAATTCATTAATGTTGAACTTAACATAATAGATGACCTTTGTCAAATTTTATGACCAGCAATAAATCCCTTCTCATTATTCAAATACTTGCACTATTGTCAATAAATTAAAACCAATGATATTATGACTTATGCCAGCATTTTATTCAATTTTAATAAATAAAAAAGGCAGCAAACAGGACCCCATATGCACACACTAGATCTTACAAAATATTTCAAAAATTTTTCTTAATTGTGATACTGAGAATCTTACTGCTGCTGAACATAATTTAGTAAGTTAAATCAAATTTCAAAAGATAGAGTTTAAACTGGTCACTGCAGAATGGCTGAAAAATCTGACACAGGAAGGTAAATTTCCAGCTGCAGAGTTTGCAGGAATGCAGGCTTTTCAAGCTTGACAAATAAGTAAAACTTACGAAGACTTCTATGGACCCATTTCTCAGGTACACGTTTAATGTGCTTTGCAATGTGGACTGGAAATCCATTCATGTAACTGCATTAATTATATTGACTATAATGGTCAGCTATCTAAATTGATCCTATGATACATGCTGGCTGTCTAAGAATAACTTTCGAGAAAAAGACAGCATATGAGAAACCTAAACCAGCCAAACATGCTGGTCCTTTGAAATTAAGACTATATTTATATATCTGGAAAACTGTCAAAATAGAAAGATTGTTAAAATAGAATTTCCCTGTACAGGCCAGTTATTTACAGACTGGTCTCCTAGAATTGACAAAAATAATTACATGAGGATGCCATAACTCCTAGAAGCTTTAACCCTCAGCGAGATGGTGCCCAAAAGGATGTGTGATGCTAACTTTTGCCTCCAGAATTCTGCATTACTGACAGGCCTAAAGTGTGAGGATTAAAAGAGAAAGGATGATAAATATCCTGTAACCTGTAAAAAAAAAAAAAAATGCAACTTGCTTAATTGTATCACTAGTTATAACAGAGGAAAAGGACACTGATTCTTCATCAACGTTCCATTGTCCTATTGTCAGCTAGCATTTCGGAACTATGGCATTCTGAAATTAACATTCAGGCTTTGAAACAGCTGCATGCCAATTAATTAGACCTCATGAGCCTTAAAGTGATTACTTAAAACGCTACTCATTGTTTCTATAATTACAGCCTTTGTGGCTATGTCTCAAAACTTACAACATGTGAATTTTCTTAATAATTTGACTTCAATTACTTCCAAGATCTCCAATAGTCAGATGAATACTGATGGAAGGATTGGAATGAAGTTGAACACTCTAGACGCCACTGTAATGAATAATACAAATGAGCTCTATGCTCTATGGTTTGAGGAAAGACTTAAATGCCATGTCTGTGTTACTATGGCCAAACACAATGTTTCCCAATAAAATTGAGAAAGGATTAAAAATCTTCTGATGAGTATTTGGCAGAGTAATAATAATAACCTGGATCTTTCAGAGTTAATTAAATGACTTTAATCCTAAAAATATGTTAAAACATTCTATATGGTATGTTATTGAAATGATATGTTTTCTAATTCTTTTTGTGTCTCAATAGTAGGTCATGATGACCTCGGACCAAGAATCCAGTGACTGAAAGATAGAATTCCTCAATTGCCTTTATATACTAAGAAAGGGGAAATATGTCAAGAGCTGCCACACAGGAGCTGAGTGCCCCCTAGCTTTGAGTGATGGAAATGTGGAGACTGGCTTCCCTAAGCAGGAAGCAGGTGGATCCCCATCTCCACTCAGCAGGGGAGCAAAGCTTTGGGATATGGATGGAATGTTCTTTCAAACAGTCTCCCCCAATAAAACCAGGGTTTGAGGCACGCTTCTCTCTTTCTTTCTTGCCTGCCTTGCCCCTTTGTGGGTCAGAGGAGCTGTCACAGAACCCAAAGGAAAAGGTATTTTCTCTTTGTGTGATTATTTCGTGCCAGCCCAGTTCACCTGTTGTGACCCTGACTGATTTATCTGTGTGTCGAGACACCCTCTTAGCCTCCAAAGCCACTGGGGTTACAGGCATGCACCACCAGTAATGACACTTTTAATCATAAATATACCTAAGCCATTAAGTAGGCTATTGACCCAATTTGGCAAGAATTTTAGGGAAAACCCAGACCACACCCAGATATCTGTGTAGAGTTTCAACTGCAAAATACCTATGAAACAATAATCTAACTGCCAAACTGTTTTTATATATCTGACCAAACTTTGTCACACTGCAAATTAATAGCCTCTAAGATTATCCAAAAACAAGCCACTAGGGTATGGTGGCCCAGGCCTGTAATCCTAGGGACTCTGGAGGCTAAGGCAGGAAGAATGCAAATTCAAGGGGAGCCTTACCAACTTAGTGAGACCATGTTGCAAATTAAAAAATGAAATAACTCTGCACTGGTGGTCACTGATAATCATTTCTTTAAAATAGGATAATCAGAGGCTAATAATGACATGAAAGAGGACTAAAAATAAATGAAGAAGGACCTACCTACATACTCTCTTCAAAGGATTATATAAAAAAATTGATTGCCATTAAACTAATACATTTCATTTTATTAATTTCTATAAGAAGGAAAAGATGTCAACTTTAATAGGTTTCTGAATCTGCTATAAATGTTTCATGTTATTTAATAATGTGATCATATGAGGTAGGTACTATTATCGTTATTTAAAATGTAAGGAAACTCAGGCTTAAAGAATTTAAGTGATTTCGGCTGGGCACGGAGGCACATGCCTTTAATCCCAGTGGTTCGAGAGGCTGAGGGAGGAGGATCGTGAGTTCAAAGCCAGCCTCAGCAAAAGCAAGGTACTAACCAACTCAGTGAGACCCTGTCTCAAAATAAAATAAAAAATAGGGCTGGGGATATGGCTCAATGCTGACTTTAATCCCTGGGACCTCCCAAAAGAGAAGTTAAATGATTTGCCCAGATGGCAGAGCCAGGATTTGAGCACACATCTGTATATCTGCAGAAGGCATATCATTCCTTTATCTCATATTGCCTTAATAGTATGTGAGGAAAAGGATTTTCTAGTAGCTACAGTACTCCAAAAACAAATGAATATTATACACTATTCTAAAAAATGTTTTGATAAAAGTTATGCATATGAGAATTTTTAAAAAGTACTTAAGTCAAAGAATATTTAGACAGAATAAATATAAATGATTAGAAAAAAGTGACATATTCCTTTCACTTCAAAAAACCAAATATTTCACTCAAACTAATACAAAAGTTTTCTCAAAATACAAACTAATAAAATTTACAATTTGTATTACATCATTCTGCTTATTAAAAGAAAGAATGATTATCCAACTAGTATATTTTTCATTATTAATCTAAGAGAAGGCAGAAATAAATTACCTGTCCAGATTCACAGGAAACTGGTGGTAGTTCTGACAATGGTGATTCAGAAGTACTCTCCTTTTTATTAGTAATCTCATAGTCTTTCTTAGATTGTAATTTAAGAATTCCTGAACTTTGATGGTCAATGGGTCCTTCTTCATCACTGGAAACAACAACTAAAAAGGAAACATGTATTTTGAATATGTCACAATAATCACCTATCAAATAAAATACTTTCTAATTAGTGCAATCAATATCTTGAAAAATCTCATTAAATTTAATCATCTAAATTTATTCAATTTAGAAGTAGACTAATATTCATTATCATATTTGCCCTAGTTCTATATAATATCTCCATATCGGTACTGTTATTCAGTTATTGATCTGCAACCTTACCTTCTATAGGATAAGCAACTTTAAAAATGTTTAAATTGATAAGGAAAACTGCTCTAGTTTAGGTATTAAGTGTTCCTTAAGGGTTTGTGTTAAAGATTTGGAACTCAAAGTGGCATTATTGGTAGGTGAGGGTATCTCTGAGATGCAGGGCCTAATGGGAGGTTCTTAGGTCACTGGGTTGTGGCCCTAAAAGGGATCTGGGGCCCCATCTGTCCAGTCATTCCCTTTGCTCCGTGTCTCATAATATGAGTGTTTCGCTCCACTATGTGTTTCCTATCACCAGAGGTCCACGCAATCTTGTACTGGAATCTACAAAACTGTGAGTCAAAATAAACATTTTCTCTTAGTAAGTTAGTTATTTCAGGTATTTTGTTACAGTGATGGAAAGCTAATAATACAAGACCTTAGGAACAACTTCTAGTTCTAATGGCACAATATAGTGTGCCATTACACTAAACTGCACTTGAAGCCCAACTATATTCATTGCTTCTGGAAGTAATAAATACATAGCTAAGGGATGATTTGAGAGAATATTTACTGTATATTCTTTAGAACCTCATGAATTTTTTGGAGCATGTGAATACATCAACAATTCCAACGTTAATTAAATAAAAATTAATGATAATAGTTAAATAGCACTTAAACTTGGCTGCATTAACCAAATGATAATAATTAATGGTCCTTAGAGAATCTTTTTTTAAAAGTACTGAATTGAATCACAGTGATTAGTTTAAAAAAGATACTCTGCTTCCAAGTGCTCCATTCACTTGCCTAAATTGATATTATAAGATTTATAAAGGAAACCTCCAAATCCCAGGACATTTTCATAATGTTCATACATTTTGCAGTCATGTCATAACAGTTTATTGCCTTAGCAAAATCTGTTTGAGAAGAAAACACTCCTGAGAAAATCAAAGAAAATTAAGTGCCTTTACAATTCTCCTGTCACTTACTTGGCTCAGCCGAGATCAACGATTGGTTCCCTTCACTGTGAACAGTTAGAAGAGGCTTTTCTACTGTATTCAACTCATTCTTATCCTTTTCAATCACAGAAGAAATCTCCACTGTATTACTGGAAATAGAGCTCTCAAAATTTTCAGTGGTTGAATAGTCAGTGGCACTTTTGGAAGAAGCACTCATATCCAACTCCTGACTACCACATGAGGACAGTTCAGTAAAATCACTTTCTACAGGTTCAGGCGTAATGTCTTCAAGCAGTGTTGAGGTCTGATGATAGTCTTTACCTGACTTTTCAAACTCATTAGAGATTGCTGAGTCATTTTCTTGTCCTTTCTGAACATAAATGTATAGAAAAATTAACATTTTTATAATTTGGCTTCTTTAAAACCCTTTTTTAAACCTTAAATTCCTAAAGAATAACATAAAAAATATTACATCATTTCTATAACTACATGAATAGAAAAATACACAATTATACTACATTATACTCGGCAGTGTCTCCTATGTACAAAGATATAGGGTTTGGTCTGTCCAATCTGATGCCTAAAAATTTTTTAAAGGGTGAGAGGGGATGCCCATCTTTACAAATGGCTCAGATGGTCTCCCATGATCTACATCAACTTTACAATGAGAGGATTTCTTTTCAAAAGTAATAAGGCCACATATAACTAACTGCTTTGGTAATAAAACACAGAAAATTAACAGGATAACAACATTAAAAATTATGAAAACCAATGCCTTCAACCTCTCCATGACTATATAAATCTAAATCATGTTCATATTTATAACTAAAGGCACTACAAAGTCCTTAAATTGTTTGTGAATCAAAGGAATCAAAAAGCTGTCTCCCTATGGTTTTATTGTATAAGAAGTCTTCGAAAATAGGAACATTATATATTAGATATGGCAATTACTTATAATAAATTCCCTAAACACTAAATAAATATGAGCTTCAACAATCTGGTAAGTAAAATGCTACTGAAAAATAAATCTAATAGCAGTTTTACAGAGCAAGGGACTGGACAGTATGATTAGTATCTGGTTAAAAAAAAAACAAGTATGAAGGATTTATTTATACAAGTCTTATAACTACATGAAAAACTACATGGATATATACACCAAACTACAAGTGCACCAAATTACTTAGGAGAGAATGGTATCAGAGAAAAAGGAACTTTAGTTTTTTTATTATTTTCTAATATGTGGAATTTGCTCTAATAATTGTACTACGGAGAAAAGTTACATAATAAAATATTTTTAAATAAATAAAGATAGGCCAGGTGTGGTGGTGCACTACTGAAATCCCAGCTGCTTAAGAGGCTAAGGCAGGAAGATCACAAGTTCAGGGTAGCTGAACAACTTTGTGGAACCCTGTTCTCAAAAATAAAAAGCACTGGGGTTGTAGAGCTCAGTGATAGAGCACTTGCCTAGCATGCATGGGGCTCGGTTCAATACACAATACGGCAAAAAGCAAACAAATAAATAAAATAATAATAATAATAATAATAAATAAAACAAAGCTAGAAAAGAACCAAAAAAGAATTAAAGAAAGCTGATGAAAGAAGAAAGTTGGGAGAACATTATTTGACTATAGTCAACTCATTTTTATCACTGCACAAAATTATTTCCGATGACATATAAATACTTCTACTTACTCTTTTTTCTGTTGGCTTATCCAAAGAAGTAGAATTATGAGATTCAGATAAATTATATTTGAGTCGTCTTCTTGCCTTCCTGGAGATCAGAGTGGGTTCCATTTTTGAATCAGAATATGTAACATCCTTGCTTCTGCTCTCATCTTCAAGATAGTCACAACCTCTACTTCCACTGTTAAGATCTTAAAAAAAAATAGAAAAGGCATATTATATGGCCAAAACATTTAAAAAATCCCTTTTAGAGGAGTTCATGAAGCGCTGGGTTCGATCCTCAGTACCACATGGAAATAAATAAATAAATAAATAAATAAATAAATAAAAAGGTATTGTGTGCATCTACAACTAAAAAACTATTTTTTTAAAAAAAAAACTGCTACACTACTTCCAAACCTCATGAAAACAGACATCCACTGTTAAATCACCATTTGACATTGGATGAATAAAAAAGCATATCTTTTTATTAACCTATTTACACAAAGTAAATGTATATTATTATGTAATGGATATGATATGAGATGAGGAAAATATGGAGAGGGAATATCCTTTGTGGGATCAATCAAATTGAAGCAATCAAACCATGTTTTTCCATTTTCTGTGAATGCATTTGGTGGTAACATGACAAAAAAATAAAATTTAGAAAATTCATGTCTTAAAAATATTTTGATAATTCACTGTGGTTTTATAAATTAGTTGTCTTTTTAAAGTATCATTCTGAAACCCACGCCGATAATCACTAAAAATGCTTAGTATTTCAGTTATCAAATAGACGTACTAAACAAAAATACTTTCTAAAAATTTCCTCCTAAATAACTGAAAGCTATCCTGAGTTATTTTGTTTTCTAATCTACATGAGTACCAACTCAAAGTTTACACACAGCAAGTCAAAAGCAGTCTACTTTAATTCATAATTTACATCTATCTAATACTGACTACTCTTTTACATTCATTCAACATGACACGCCTTCTCTTTATTCTTGTTCTTATTCTATGTTCACCAACTCTTAATAACTAACATCCATGATAATATATCTATATCATTCTATAAAAGGAACACACTGGGACAGAATTTTTTTTTTTTTTTTTTTTTTTTTTTTAAGGCATAAACAGTCTTTATTGGGCTCAGACCAGGAGTCCATTGGTTCTGAGGACCTCTGTAAACTTGTTAATTTTCTTCTCCACATTCTTTTCTGCCTGTTTTCGTAGCCTCATAAGCTATTTTTTCTTCCGGTAATGGATCTTGGCTTTCTCCTTTCTCTTCTCCTCCAGGGTGGCTGTCACTGCCTGGTACTTCCAGCCGACCTCATGAGCCAGGCGCCCCAGGTAGGCAAACTTTCTTGTTGGCTTCAGTCGCACAACCTTCAGGGCAGCAGGAACCACCATCTGCTTTTTCTTGTCGTAGGGTGGTGGAATCCCATCAAACACCTTGAGGTGGTCCAGGGCAGCCTGGCCTCGCTTGGTCTTGTGGGGCAGCATGCCTCGCACTGTCCTCCAGAAGATGCGACTGGGGGCCCGGAAGTGGTACGGGCCACGGGATGGGTTGGTATTCATCCTCTTGCGGAGGAAGGCCAGGTACTTCAACTTGTTTCTGTAGAAATTTCCAGAAATGTTGATGCCCTCACAGCGCACAACCACCACCTTGCGGCCCAGCAGTACCTGTTTGGCCACAATGGCCGCCAGGCGGCCCAGGAGATGGCCTCGGCCATCCAGCACTAGGACCTGCCCCTCCGCCATCTTCGGCAGCCGCCTGGGAAAGACTGGGACAGAATTGAGGACAAAAACTCTAAAAAGACAAATGCCATTCAATTTCCAAAGAAAATACTCTACTCCCTCTCCCAGGGAAACAAACTTTCCCCAACTCATCAACACAATACTTTAAAAAGTATATTCAATTTTTTTGCAATATTTTAAATTATAAAAATAGTCTAATATCTAAAAAGTTATATTGTTTTATAACATAAATATAAATACTATTATAAAAGACCAGTGAAAGAAAAGGAGCTTAAGAAAACTTTTATAGTTTTATAGTTTCCTTTAAACAATTTACTATTTGCACTTCAGTTAAGCTTTTCTCAGGGAAAACAGGAATAATTATTGCATAGAGCTACACATTATAAAAAAAGATTCTATAATATAAAATACACAATTTAATGTGAATATTCTTAGAATATAAAATTAAATAGATGACAAAAATATTTTAAACAAAAGAAAATTATCCAGGCACAGTAGTGCACGCTTATAATCCCAGAAACTCGGGCAGCTGAGATAGAAGGATCAAAAGTTTGAGCCCAGCCTCAGAAATTTAGCAAGGTCCTAAGCAATTTAGTAAGATCTTATCTTAAAATTTTATAAAAAAAAAAAATTTTAAGAAGTACTGGAGATGTAGGTCAGTGGTAAGTACCCCTGGGGTCAATCCCAGTATAAAAGAGAGAGAAGAAAGAGATAGAGAGGGAGGGAGGGAGAGAAAAAGAATATTAAATATTTCCAGTGTATGATTATGGTAAAAGTAAATTCCAAAGACAAACCATGTGCAACAAAAAAAAAAAAAAAAAAAAAAAAATGGAACACCTGGGATTTAATTCAGAATTTCCATTATTTTATGTTTTTCATTAAATAATAAGTATTAGTTATCCATAGGAGAGCAAACATCCTGAGTTTAAATAAAGATTCAATGGCTAATTTCCTTAAGAACACTTCACCTACCATTTTACCTTTAAGGATTCAAAACACTATAAAGTGCTTCTTTTATTGTGCACTTTTCCCTAATGCAATTATAAAATTCTCCTGTGACACTGAGATAATTACAGCCAGTCCCTTATAGCCTTGGGTTCCACATCTATGCATTTAATCAACAATTGATGGTGTACTGTGTGATTAGGCCTCCAATGTTTACATCTGTACTGAATATGTACAGACTTCTTTTTTCTTGTCATTATTCACTAAGCAATACAATGCAACAACTATTTACACAGCACTTACACTATGTTATCTATTACAAGTAATCTAGAGATTAAAGTATATAGGAGGATGTGCATAGTTTATATGAAAATACTACATCATTTCATATATAGGACTTGAGCCTACAGAGATACTGGTATCTGCAGAAGGAAGGAGAGAGGAAGAATGTATTGGAACCAATCCTCTATGGATATAGAGGGACAACTATACTTAAGGAAACAAATAGGAACACTTACTATTCAAATATTCCTACCCTCTGCAGTAGATGTAGAGGCTAAAAATTATCTTGAGAGTATCTATTTCTAGGAAAAGCATAGTTCATACAAAAATAAACATCTTTCAGTGTCCTTCCTGATACTACTTAATGACTGAGTTTCTTTCTCCAAAGATTGCCCTCATAAGAGTTTAGTTGGCTTCTTGTATAACATAAAATTTATTACTCTAGTTTCCTTTGGACTTTTTTCCCTTCGGTGAAAAAGGTTACTAAAAAATAATTTAAATAGCTGTATTTCAAATGAATTGCATAAGTATTTCATAGTGATTAAAGGAACTTTTTCTTGTGTAAATAACTTACAAATCCCTCAGAAAATAAAATAACCTGAACTTGTTTAAGCTATGAATAATCCAAGAGACCTCTGGAGGTGTTCAATAATCCAAGAGACCTTTGGAAGTATTTTACAAATGGCTAATACAGCAAGTTGTTTTTATACAAATTTTGGTAAAATATTTTTAAATCTTCAAAAAGGAGATGAAAGGAGAAAAAGTCATCAAATCATTAATCCTATATGTGAGGAGGCCTACAAAGAATTTTCAGATGTCTGGGGTATATTTACCTTCAAATTTGCTAACAGTGGATTTTTTGGCATCCTTCTAGAGTTGAAAGAAATTCTATGAATAAAGAATGTATTTCACAGCAGAATAGACAGTGAGAAGCTAATAATAAAAATTCAGTTAGCAATAATATCAACATCCATGAAAACAACACTTACAATAGCTAAATTAACATTACAAATTTATAGCTACATCTTTTTTTTTAATATTTTAAAGTTGTTGATGGACCTTTATTTTATTTATTTGTATGTGGTGCTGAGAATCGAACCCAGTGTCTCATGCATGACAGGCAAGTGCGCTACCACTGAGCCACAACCTCAGCCTCTATAGCTACATCTTTAGCCTCCATAAAAAACAAAAAGAAACAATACTCAAATTTAATTTGGGGATTGGACAAACAAATCAAGAAATATGTACTAAAGTACATAAATAGTAGATTTTGCAATTTTCTTTGTGTTGCTAAATAACCTACCTTTGCATTTGTATCCTTCCCATGTAAGATGAAATATTTATTTATAACTTGAAATTTCTATAAATGCAGTATGCAAAAATTCAAATTCCAACAGTTTTCTAAGGTTCACAAACCTTTAGGCTGAGTGTCAGACACTATAGGAGAAAGGCCATCATCATCTCTTTGCTTTTCTTTAGTGTTTACAGCCTGCTTTGCAGAAATGTTATCCACTGTCTTACTTGATTGTGAATCCCTGCAAAACAGAATTGTATTATATGCAATTCTAATAAAGTCCAAATGAATTTAGAACCCAATTGGCATATATTCAAAGTAAAAATCCAACAGGTTACATATACCTTCCTACATGAAAGACTAAATAATCTGGGCAAAGATAAAATAATCAACTCCGATTTGAGAAGTTCTCATCCGTATTGTACCTTTAAATTCCACATGTCTTTGGGGAAAACAGGATATACATATTATAGGATTATGTACACGTAAAATGAGCAAAAGAATAACGTTATATAAATATTAAATAAGTCAAAGTGGTTTAAAAAGGAGAATTCTAGAACACAAATTTCCTGATAATCAAACTTATGTATAATAAAAAAAATTACAAGCCAAAGCTAATTATTAATAAATTTCAAGCATGGTTCATGTATCAAAAGATAAATACAAATAAAGTTAAGAATATAGTAACAAATTTATCCTATAGGAAATAGTTTAAAATCTAAGGTACTGTTTAATATTTCAATATAGGCTGAGTGCAAAATGAGTTTGGGCATGATGAACATAATATTATTTCTAATAAAATTTGTCAATACAAAATATACTACCATATGTAATACACACACATGAAATCAAATTTAAAATCTGGACAAAAGGGATTCAAACTATTTGGATCACAGATAACTATGAAGAGAAAATAAGAGACTCAGGAAATACAATATAAAGGAGGTCTTAACTTTCTATACTATTTCTTTAAAAAATAAAGACAAATTTGATGTAAATAAGGAAAATACTATTTAAATCTGAGTAATACGTAATATGATATTTTTCTTGGTACTTACATACATATTTAAAATAACATAATTTTTTAAATGTAAGGTACTCACAACTAAGATAACTGTAAGAAGTGATAAAAAGGGACTTTAAAGACAAGTAACACATATGATTCTTTATTTTGAGAGTAATGATTGGGACTATGAAAAATTAGTTGTAAGTTTAAAATCAACAGTATCCAACAGACACTATACTACATTGGTAGTGCAGTATCATGGTAAAAGGAACAGCTATTACTGTTATTACATTGCTTATCCTTTTCATATTTACTTTGGTATAATTTTCTTTACTTTTACGTTTCAAATTAAATGCCAAATATTCAAAAACATAAGGCTCAGCCACTTTCACCTACAAAAAAATTTCAACTAAGTCAAATCATTCCAGCCCTCAATCCTCAAGAATCAATCTTGAAGGACAAGAATCTAAACAGACTACCACAAACTTTCGTTTATTAAAGAAGAAGAAGAAAGCCTCAAGAAAGGTCAATTCACACCACTCTCTCAGCAAAATGATCACCACAGGCACTATAAATAAAGGTAGATTGTGATCTAACTAATGAAAAGATTAAATGCTCAGATACTCATGCTTCCCCTGAGCTAAGAAACAAACGGTGTAATAATCCTTGTTTTCTAGCAAAACACACATTGGAAAAAAATTTAAATTTTAACTGTAAACTACACTATGAAGTGTATTGTTATGGAAAAAAGATGTTATATAGTAGGAGATTTTCTTGACCAAATACAAACATTAAATGGTCACAGGAAACACAATAAAAATAAGTAATCAATTATTTTCAAAAGATAATATTGTTTAATTCAAAAAGCACATACAATGAGGCCAAAATAACTATACTATCTCAACAAAAATATCAACAAGTTGGGAAGACAGTAGAATGAATTGGACATAACTTTCCTATGTTTTTTTTTAAGTTTTCTCTCTCTCTTTTTTTTTTTGTTGTTGTTGATGGACCTTTATTTTATTTATATGTGATGTTGAGAATCAAACCCAGTACCTCACACGTGTTAGGCAAGCGCTCTAATACTGAGCTACAGCCCCAGCCTCGACTTTTCGTATGTTCTCATACGAATACATGACCAGTGTAACTCCACATCATGTACAACCACAAAATTGGGAAGTCATTCTCCATGTAGGTACGATATGTCAAAATACATTCTACTGTCATGTATAACTAAAAGAACAAATAAAAAAGAAATATCAACAAGTTGTTTTGTAGAATTTGACAATCCCATTCTGAAATGTACATGGTATAAATCATATACATTTAAAGACAGTTCTTGGTATACATTTTTAGATAGCAATTTTGAAACATTCCATCCTGTTGTGACAAAAGAAAGTGAATGAAATGGGAATACTCAAAGTCCCTGAAGGAAAAATACTACAAATATGCACATTACTCAAGTTAACAAATAGATAATGAAGGATATGGACAATAGGCTCCAGGGAACTTCCCTTACTATTCCCTTGCCTGTCCTCCTACCATCAAAACTCCCATTACCTGGCCCTGCTTAACCCTATAAAATCCAAAGCCTTGTTGCAGCCTCCACCACTTCCCCTCAAAAATGTGCCCCTCCATTGTTTAATAAAGCATCACTGGTCCATTGAGGTCAGCTTCCATTTTCCTTTTCTTTTTGTATTCTCTTTCATGTGCTTTTATTTGGTACCAAAACCTAGGATGGGGAGTTCAGGGCTCTTTACCATCCCCTGTCCTAAAGAACCTTTACCATTTTTTCATATTTCCCTTCCTCTCTTTTTAATCAAAGAAATGAGGCCCTTCACACTCTCCATTTCCACTATAAGCTCAATGGTGGCTGGTACGCAACCAGAAATTGACCCCAGTCCTGGGCTAGATTTTTGCTGCCTTACTGCCACATGGATGGAGCAAGGACCTGTATCAGGTCCTTTATTGCTATGAGAGATATCCTCCTTCAAACTCTATTCACTCCAATTCCTTCCTTATATATTAAGACCTCTGGATCAGAAGCAACACTGGCCTTCTCATTCTTCAGAGAGATAAGATCCTTCCCACTCTCTCACAGTACATCTTGAGTTACTGCTGCTTGTGGTAAAGACCACTTCACAATAACACTCATAGGTATTTTACTATCTTTGTTCTACACCTGTGAACTGTATATCTTAAGTTCCTTGAGAATGGTCATTAGTCACATAGGCCAAGAATTCAAACCCACCGATGTTGTAATGGTTAAGAAATTATTTCAAATTTCCTGTAAAAGCCTCATGTAACTTCAGTTGGGGGCCCAGAATTTCAGAGCACAAGATCATCTGGATCCCCAAGCATAAATAAACCTGAATTCTAAGTGGTCCTTGGTCTCTTGCTGAGCATGATTTCAACGACAATACAATGGATTTCATTAAAATTAAAAACTTCTGTGCATCAAAGGATACTATCAGGAGAGCAAAAAGACAAACCACAGAAAATATCTGCATATCATATTATATCACAAGGTATTAATATCAAGAATACACAGTGTAAAGAACTCTTACAACTCACTCTCCCCCAAAATACCCAATTTAAAAATTAGCAAATTACTTATAATAGACATTTCTCCAAAGATACAAAAATGAACAACAGCATGAAAAGATATACATCACTAATCAATAAGGAAATGCAAACCACATCAACAGTGATATACTATTTCACACATATTAGAATGGTTATCTTTTTAAAAACATAGAAATTAACAAATGTTGGCAAAAATGTGGAAAAACTGGAACCCTTATACACTCTTGATGGGAATATAAATAGCACAGTCATTACAAAAGTTTGATGGTTTCCAAAAAAGCTAGTCCCAAAATTATATTACAAAACTAAACACAGTGTAATACTATTGGGTTTTAAGAAGGAATTAACTTCTTATATAGGATGTAACTGAAATAGACACATTCATAGAGACAGAAAATAGATTAGAAGTTACTAGGGGCTTAGGAAAGAAAATGGGGAGTTATTTTTTTAATGGTAAGAGAGTTTCTATATTTAACATATGTTGTGAAGGTTGCCCAACTATGCAGACACTGAGGAGAACCGTGCTATGAAAAAATAAACCACTAAAAGATAAATATTGTTATTCCACTTATATGAAGTACTTAGAATAGTCAAATTCATAGAAAAAGAAAGTAAAATGAGGGCTACCAAGGACAGAAGGGAGAAATTTGGAGTTATTTGTTTAATGGGTAGAATTTCAGGCTGGAAAAATAAAAAAAAAGTTCTGGAAAAGAATGCTATTCGTAGCTGTACAAAAATGTACATACACACACACACACACGTATACAGTCTCTCTCTCTCTCTCTCTCTCTCTCTCTATCTCTCTCTCTCTATCTCTGTGTATGTGTGTGTGTGTGTGTGTGTGTGTGTGTGTTATGGTTTAGTATATCCTCCAAAAGCTCAAGTGTTGAAGGCAATGCAGTAATGTCCAGAGGAGACACAACTAGATCATGAAATCTCTGACCTCATCAAGGGATTCATCCATTTGAAGGATTAATAGTTTGAATTACTGAGAGGTGGTAACTGTAGGCAGGTAGGGCATGGTCAGAGGAAGTAGGTCACAGGAGATCTGGCCTTGGTGACTATATCTATCCCTAGCCCCTTCTTCTGTCTCTCTCTGTTTCCTGGCTGCAATGAGCTGAGCAGATTTCCTCTGCTGTGCTCTTCTGCCTTGATGTTTCTTCCTTGGAACCAGCCAACCACAAATTGAATCTTGGAAACCATGAGTCAAAGTAAACCTTTTCTTCTCTAAATTGTTCTTGTCAGATATTTTATCAAGTGACAAAAAGCTGAATAACACACATACTATACTGGTGGACATCTTAATCCATTTTGGTTTGCTGTCACAAAATACCTGGAGCTAGACATATTATAAAGAAAACAAGTTGATTTAGTTCACAATTTTGTAGGATGAAAGCCCAAGATCAGGTGGCTTCATATATTAGGCCCTTGGGGAAAGCCCCCACTGACTGTCTTATAACACGAGAGAGAAGCAGAAAGGAAAAGAGCTACATGTATAAGAGGTCATGTGAGACAGGAAGCCAGAAATGGACGCAGGGGCCAAGTTTGTGCTTTTATAACAACTTTCTCTCTCTCAGAAACACAGATCACACAGTAATTACAGTAATCCCTTCTGGCGACAATGCCCATAATGACTCACCTTCCTTTAG